TTTCCCGCTTCCTGGATTCACTTTGATCCTAGTGTCTACCGAATCGCTTGCTACTGATATTATCTTGTTATTCTTTTTGTTCATACGGCCGATACGTGGCATCCAAATCACTCTACCTCCTTAAGAAAATCACTTGTGTTTGCTTTCAATTGCCGTAGTACCACCTTCTTTGAAGATTAACCTGGCGAAACAGCAGTTTATTGCACTGTCCACTAGAAGTAATGTGGCTGAGAAAAAGTTCCCGTTGAAAGCACACAGTATGAGCATTTATATGCTCGTAGATTAAGTGTAATAATTTGATGACTTGCTTTAAGAAGTCCATAGTAGGAGTAGCAAAAGCAGCCAGTCGAAAGTTATGTTGATGTGCACAGGTAAACCGTAGTATGAACCGTCCGAAAAATTCTGCTATACCTTTTGCCTTTCGTTCTCCTTTATTTATGATGAGGTTGCGAACTAGCTTACATCTTTTTTCAGGCCTTATTTCTGTAGGTTGACAGAATATAAATACTGATTGATTGCTTGCTTGTCAAGCTGGACGTGTAGCAAGTTGGGAAATCGTGATTTCGAATGTTTAAGAGTGACTCATGCGAGAAAGTTTTATGTATAAGTTAGTCTAACTCGTGCAAGATATCTGGTAAAATATCTTGTAGTGTGAAACATCTGTAAGAGTTTTCAGTGTCCTAACAAGTAAAATGCTTCTGAAATCGTATCGGTAAAAATAGCCTATGTTATTTATTAGAATTCTCTGAGGCACGATGCTCAAAAAACTTTTCGCCCTGCAGCCAAGTCCCGAAACGGATAAATGCAGTATGATAAGAGTACGTGAGCAATATCACGTACTTTCAATGGTAAGAATGTGAGCGCAGACGCTGGAATAGATAAGACAGATGTTCATACTTCGACAGGTCCCTTACAGTCTCAAAAGAAATTTCTTGTCGCGTATTTTGTTGATATTGAAAGTATGCTGTATTTTTAATGAATTCGAAAGAAGCGAAGAAAAAAAAAAGTGGGCGTGGCAGTAAGAGTGCTCATCGTTTCACCGTTAGATGACGGTGAGGCTTGTACTCATCAAAATACAGCATTTGGACGCAGCACAGAGATTCAAGCTTATGCGCAGGTTATCTGAAATACCACCAAAGATGATGATCGATCTGTGGCGACTGCCGTGGCAGTATTTGAAACAGTTTGTGCCTCAGATCACGTGCGCAGGGTGTTTATCTGACCGAGTATTCCTTCCGAGGATGTGGGTGGTAGAAGAACAAAGAATAATAAACAGGAGCCGCTGTTTCTCAGTGTACCCATGTGTGCCTGTAACCGGTGTAAGGGAAATGGGAAGGTACCGGAATGAAATAGCAACGTTGATGGTGTCGCAGTTGTCGCCTCATCGTGTCCCACTGTATTATTTTTTTTGAAGGACTTCTAATAGATTCAGCTGCCTTCTACTCGACTCACGAGTGGTGCCCATTTTTTCGTGCTCTTTGCTTTAGTTGCTTATCGTTCCTGCGAGTTTATTTTCAAGTCTACCCTCCGACATGTCTCGGCTTCCCATCTGCAAGTGGTCTTCCTTTAGGTGCGGACATCAGTAATGGCTTTGATTTCTTCATCCCCCGTTCAAAATTACGTATGACGTTAATAATAAGCTATCTGGGATTATATATCCCGAAACCACGATATGATTAGAGAGACGCCGCAGAAGAGGAGTTTGGGAATTTCGACCATCTGGTGTTCTTGGACGTGCGCTGACATGACACAGTACACGTGTTTTTACTATTTCGTCTCCATCAAAATGCGACCGCCATCGGCAGGAATCGAACCCGTGATGAGCAGCCCAGCACCCTAGCTCTTTCACCGTCATACAGTGTAGACGTCAGCTGTTCGTATTGTGATCTTCGTATGGTGCACCCACCCTACTAAACTATATATATATATATATATATATATATATATATATATATATATATATATATATATATATATATATATATATATATATATATATATATATATATATAGTTGCCATTCATGATGGACATATGTTGTTTCGACCGCAACAGGGAATTGCGTTAGATGTCATGGCTGCATCTAGTTGGACATAAACATGTTTTAATGCGTGGTACATATTCCAGAGATTTTTTTTTCTGTAAACGCTCAACGAAGTTATCGCAACGCCACATCTAATGGGCACACGCCTAATTGGTGGTACCGTAAGGGAAGCTTGTGAAACATTGTCGTCGGACGTGCTGTAACGCAGTCAGTAAGCAGAATTCAGGATTGTTATTCTCAATCAAGGCTTGCGATTAAGCTCGCAATGAAGGCTTGCCAGATAGCGTACGTAATACATTGTGCGTATTTGTATGCGTGGTGACACGCTAGTATTGTGCATAAATTGAAGCAGTGTTTCGCGAAATTTCCACCCGTTGCCAATTCCCACACGTTTCAATAAGTTTTTTTAGGGGGCGAAGCTCCTTAAGCCCTGGGTCGTGCGTCCCCGATGTACGTAGTAGTAGTAGTAGTAGTAGTAGTAGTAGTAGTAGTAGTAGTAGTAGTAGTAGTAGTGGTAGAAGTAGTAGTAGTAGTACTAGTAGATAGCCACCTCTCGTTTAGTCCTTAGAATGTCCGCTGGAGGACGGTATTCGTATATGATGAAAATATGATAAAAAGATGCGAGATGGCGGTACTTTGAGTGTTCGCTAGATGGATGGACAGACGGACGTACAGACACATGGACGGACGGACAAATGGTTTACCGATAAAACCCTCCGAAGCTTCGCGCCACACATCGTCATTCAATTCGTCGATATGCTGTGATTTTTTTATTTGGAGAAGGGCTGAGGGGGAGTGAGTTCTAGCGCAGTTTACGTATGTTCGTGCAGCATAAAAGTTCTTAGGTGGGCTAGTTGATTCATAACCAATGTGGAAGAATAGCGCGAAGGAAAAAAAAACGGGGCAGTAAGCACAACTTGTATGTGCACATGTATATGAACACTTGCAATATAACAATACTACAACCTACTTCAGTTCAGTAACAAAAACAGCACTATTAAAGCAGCACTTGATCTTTTGTTACCTGTTCTTATTCATCTGTTTAATATATATCTGCTTATCCACGGGAGTTTTCCCAGAAAAAATGAAGCATGTGAGAGTTAGTGTCTTATACAAATCTGGTGACCGAAATATCTTTTCTAATTATCGTCCGATCTCGATACTTCCTGTTATATCTAAAGGGCTAGAGAAAATCGTATATCAACGTGTGATGTCTTTTTGTGAAAAGTACTCTATATTATCACCGCATCAATTTGGCTTCCGACGGGGCATGTCCACGGAACTGGCTCTCCTCACACAAAAAGAACTCATACTTAACTCATTTGAAAAGAAACTGTTAACACTGGGTGTTTTTATTGACTATTCCAAAGCGTTCGATAGAATCAACCACGAAGTACTCTATGCAAAATTGCTTCATTATGGTTTTCGGGAAACCCCACTTGACTTTCTGAAATCTTATTTATCACAAAGAAAGCAATCTGTAGTTATAAATGACAGCCAATCCTCCCTACTAACCATAACGTCAGGTGTACCTCAGGGCAGCATATTAGGGCCCCTACTGTTTAATATTTATATAAACGACATAACAAGTGTCAGCAAATATGTGGACTTTATAATTTATGCAGATGACACTAGTATATTTTTTCATGGTAATGATTTAGGTAAGCTTGCAGACTCAGCCAACAACATTCTTAACGACATCTTCATATGGAGTACTGCAAATTATTTAATGATCAACACAAAAAAATCCAAAGCTGTGGTATTCGCACCGGTTCACAAGGCTGTCTGTCGTGGTTTGGATATATATCTCGGGCCCGAAAAAATTGAGGTTGTCAAAGAAGTTTCATCATTAGGAGTAATTTTTAATGAAAAATTTAATTGGGACGAACACGTTAATAAGGTAACTAGAAATATAGTTAGGACGTGTGGTGCTCTCTCTAAACTTCGACAGATACTTCCAGCAAACAATAAACTTTTACTCTATAATACGTTGTTTTCATCTCACATAAACTATTGTAGTCTAGTGTGGGCAGATACATCTAAAGCAAATCGGAACAAAATATTTTTACTGCAGAAAAAAGCGATTCGTCATATTGCAAACGTACCATACGACGCACATACAAGCCATTTATTCAGAGAATATAAGATTTTACCGATCGATCACATACACAGTTTCAACCTTATTATGAAATACAAACAAAGCTTGCTATCAAACAACGCTTGTTTTCTTAAACTGTGTAACCTCAGGAAAAATACACAATCCTATTATGACATTCGGAAAAGGCCTTCCTGGTTTGTTCCTTATTCGCGAACTAATCACGGTTTGAGAAGACTTGAACACTGTATTCCAGCTTGTTTTAACATGTTTGAAAATAAAAACATCGGCATCTTTAATATACATAAAAAACAACTTAAGAACCTTCTCATCCAAAATGGCGGCGTGTAGTTTAGCTTCTTCTAGTTGTCCGGCTACAGTACTATATGTAAAAGAAACACCCTATAATAGTGCTCGTGTGTAACATGGCATCCTATGATGCTTGCTTTCTTTGACATTTTTTATTGCTTTGTTTATGAGTAAAACATGCAACATTTCACTCGTCAGTGTTTCCCTTGTGCATTAAAACTTGTGCTTTTCGCATACCCAGTGTTGTAAACGTTGTATAATCATTTTGTAATACTTTGGTAGCCGTTTAGCAACGTGTGCATTGTTTCATGATTGACCGCACGCTGTTTTCTTTTGTTTTTTGTTGTTTTTCTCTCTTTGTGGTTTGCTCATTTTATGTAAACCTGAAACTGATGTAAATTTGATGCATTTTCTTTTTATTTCCTAATTGCTTGAAGTTTTGAAAATCGACGTCAAATTGTTTTTTCATGTTTTGTGCTCTGCGGATTTTTGTAATGCCAAGTGAAAAGGGGTAGGAGCCTCGTCAAGCTGCTAACATAGCAGCTTTTTGCTCTTATCCTTGCGTTTTCTTTTTCGCAACTCTGTGAAGAAAATGCTCAATAAACTGAAACTGAACTGAAACTGAAATATGTGAGCTGGTCGTGTCAGTTCGTACGGTTGTGATTTCCTGGATTGTCTGGAAGCCCGTGTATCGGCGGCTTTTTTAGCATGAGCAGTTCTGATACGGCGCTCGTTTCACACCTATCCACGGTGACCAGGTGCAGTGGTGATGCTCCGGGTATCCGCGCTTGTCACTTATGTAGTTGCTGGGTCGAGGCTTAGTGGTTTTCCGGTACTCGGCCAGCTTCTTCAGCAACTCATCCCGCAACTGCAGGAAAGAAATGGGCGTGTTGGCGTAAAACAGTGAACGTAGAGATAGTTGCAGCGTGAGAACAGAATGACGACGCAGAGACAAGGACACGAATGACACGTAGAGACAAGGACACGAAGGACACGTAGCGCTCGTGTCCTTCGTGTCCTTCTTGTCTCTGTGTCGTCGTTCTCTTCTCGCGCGATAATTATCGTCATGTTATACCAACTAGCCCAAGCTGCCATACTGTGAACGTAGAGATTCGTGACGGCATTTTTGTCTCTTTGACACTTGGTGCAGTTGTTGTATGTGCGTTTACTTCCATATCTCTGCTTCTGGTGCACATTGACGAAACTGGGCTGATAAAGCACATGTGCAAGTAGTGCCTCCAGAAAAGTCAGTTGTTTTGAAGGCAGCGCTTGCTGGCACCAAATTGCTGTAGTATTCGAGAAACATTGACGAGCTCCGTGTTGACGAGCATGGATTTATGGCGCCATCTAGTAGGCGTAAGAAGAGTACCAACAGTTGCCTCCGAGACGACAAAGCGCGCATATTTGCTCGTTCCCGTCGTTCTCACGTTTGTACACTGAGCACGAACAAGCGACCAGCATGATGGGATAAAAGAGATAAAGGATTGACAGTAGATTCGGTAGAAGAGAGGGAGAGAGGACGCTAATAGCAAGTTAGAGTTTTCTATCAAAGCAGCTACAAGCTTTCCAATAAACGTCACAAGACGGCACCCTAGCGCTAATGTCGGTGGGAGATTTAAAAGCACCCTAAACAGACCAAGGTAGAGGCAGCAGGGGTCTTAAATTCACTGCAGCCAGTGGGCCATAGTAATGCAGTTTAGTACTGCACGGGACGTTTTAGTGCTGCACGTAAAAGTGGTGAAAAAAAAAAGGGGGGGGAGTGTTTGATGTACAAATTGTCGGCAAGCGTTGCATGTAAAGCCAAATCTTTCGCGTCATCGCACTCAAATACGGATACTAATACGACGACGAAAGAGAGGAAAGGCTTGGATGTTAATCTGTTTGGCATAACCGCTATGCTACCCTGCACAGGGGGAAGGGATGGGGAGATCGAAAGAGGAGTAAAGAAAGAGAGTGCAAGCACACATGCACACACATAACGTAACTGTGCAGAGTGGCTGTCTTGTGCTGTATACGCAATAATTAAGAGTGTACAGCCGCTGGTGCAAGCCAACCGTCCTTGGGAAATTCAGCAATACCTTCGTCGCTTGAACTTCCGATGATTTTTAAAGATGGTATTAGAAAACAGCCATTTCTGTAGAACATATGGTGCCAGCCAGGGTTCCAACATCACGTCGATACCGATCTCCAATATGACTGTATCTGGATGCCGATTTCGCAATATAGTTTTTGTTTCACGGTTATGTTTAAACACATAGCAGTCACACGGGGTACCTCACGGAAAACAATGTTTTAACCCAATAATGCCTGGATAGCTCACAGACATGCTTACTTAAAAAAAAAGGATATGGGGCGAAGAGAGGTATGTGAGGCCTACGGGTTGCGTGCTTGAGACACCTGACCTAGGTGCATCCACAACTGAACGCGTTATTCTCTGCTGGCGTTTCCCGTGATTCGGGCGCACTTAGTGATAAAAAATGGTGATTCGTGGGGCGTGATTACTTTACATGCCCCATAGAGTGCTCCATATATGTGGAATATCAGTCATGAATTGTCTACTACACCGCTTTTCCATGCAGCCGCCCACCCGTTGTTCCTTGCCTCGCTTGAATATCGTGCGTATTAACGCTTCATTTTGTGTGTTTTTGAATGCGCAAGTGGCGATATAGGATTGCTTCCAAATTTGGACAACCTGTTCAGTGGAGAAAAAGAGCCTGCCAGAATCTTGGAAGCCACTACAGATGAATTCTAGTTGAATACATCCCCTAAGTGTCATTTCTGTGCTGAAAGAATGCAGCGTCTGGCTATAGTACACTAGTCTGTAATAGTAATTGGCCGTCTAGTAACTAGTGCACCACGGGTTCTCGCGGAGCGTGAACTATGCTTTGGGACAGTGATTCTCATCCGTTGATGATTGGGTAATCGTTTGTGGATTGGTGGAAGTGATGGATACAGCGCGAGATCGATGAAGACTGAACACGGAAGAGACAGACGTGCTCCGTCTTCCGCCTTCGTCGATCTCGCGCTGTGGCCGAAAATGGAATCTCACCACCTAGCCCAACCTTCAATTCTATTGAAGTGATTAATCTCCTGGTGTGAAAAAGAGGGGGGGAAGGGAAATGGACTGTTGGGCGAGTTAGTATCCCATATCCAGGAAAATTGTGCGAAAAATATGGATGGAGAGAAAAAGAAACAGCCCAAACGCAACAACGTATTTCTCTTCGTACACGTTTCTTGCAAATTTTTCCTGCAAAAGGCTAGGGGGGTCATCAATTACCAAAACGTAAAGCGTGGCATAGGTGCCTTTTAATTCTCTCTGGCAAGGAATGGTCTAATGGAAGGGCCATACAAGTTCGATATGAAGAGCTTGTCAATAAATGGGGAGGGGGGGGGGGGGCTGTTTCTAGCTATATCTGTTCTTCAAATATGCAATCCTGTAAAAAGCATGCTTCCATGCACATGTTACAGGAAATTGCAAAAATTGCAACACTATTTTTATAGCCATCTCATGAAGGAAAAGAAACATAAGTACGCTCCGTTGCAATGCTGGATTGTTATGAGGTGAAACATAACAAAAACCAAAAAGGGACCGTTGACACGCGCTCTAGTGTGCTGCGAACGCAATGCTTAGCATTGCATTCGCATGATGAGAAAGTAATGCGGAATTTTCGCCGCTCGATCGTACGCCCGTTTTGAAGTAAAGGTCTGCTAAGTAGGCAAAAAAAAAAAAAACGTTTTCTGGGTCGATTTTCGAATTTTAATAAAACTCGTACTGAGTTTACCCAGAGAGGCGAAAAATAACTGAACTCAAGCAATAACATGCATACATTTATCCAAACAAGTATGATGCACGTAGCTTTAATGTTGTTTGGGTAATGCAACGCTAAAGTCAGGAAAAATAGCATGGCAGGTGAGCGTGGCACTCCACCTCTTCGTCATTATTGATTTACTGTGCTTCAGAAACTTTTTTCCTGGTAAAACCAATTGAGGTTCTCTTCTTTTTCCTTATCAGGCAACAATAAATAAAACTTCGTAATAAATTTAGGAGGTCGACTGGGCATGCTTTGTTCGATCTTACGTGGAGTCACTCTGCTACCAGACCTGTGGAAGTAGTGCCGGCTTACGTCCGGGTTTTCGTACCTTGGTGTTGGATGATGCGAGGTTGTTAAGCTCGCACGGGTCGCTGAAGATGTCGAACACGAATACTTTGTCGTACGGATCGAAGTTGCTCTGCGTGCTGCCGTTATTCGCGGTGCAGTTGAGCATTGCCTCTTGGCGCCAGTTGGCTCGCGGCGAAGACTGGCTTCGCCCGCCGGCGTCAAGCGAAGCGTTCTGCAGCGCCTTCCAGGCCATCGATGACGTCACCAGGGTGTCCAGGTCGAGGTCCTCGGGAGGCTGCCCCTGCGGAGGTGCCACTTGAGTGTCGAGCTCCGGGTCGTTAGGACCGCTGGGTCGACTCACCAGCTTGTACCTGCAGTGTACAATACAGATGCATTTCATAGAAGCGTGTTGTGCAACACAACTGCGCAGAGAGAATGCGTTTCAGGCAGACGCAGAAGTACACAGGCACAGATTGTTCCTTCTACTGAAGGTTCCCAATTACTGTTTATAACGCGTGCACCTTTCTTTGGCTGTTCACTCGATTTTTTTTTTGTTTTCCAATCTACATTTTCATTTTCCTGTGCGGCCACCTACCCCTTTGGTGGGCTTGCAGGGCTTCGTGCGGGGATCTGGGCTCACCGGAACAGAAGGCTCCGACATCGGAGACTTCACCACTACGCTTCACGACTTCATCGCCATTGAAAGCGTGCATGCGCCGTCGCACCGAGCGAAAGGCGGATGGCCGCTGCTGTGGGCGGTTGAACACACTCTGCTCATTCAAAGATGCCCATGAACGCGTGCTTTTGTTGTGTATACAGTCCCGCTTGTCGAATTGAACTTGTGGTGAGCGTAATGGCTATAAGCAAACCGTAAAACAAAATTTTACTTCCTTTCCGAAATAATTTCTGAAGGCTCAGACGGTTTGTTTTAGTCAAGTCCTTTTTTGGTGTGTACATGTTTAAGGGTAAAATATGAGTACCTGCCGGAAATCAGAGCTGCCATTTTTTCCTTGCCTTCTATGTCCAGGAGGACTTCCTCGCGTCCGTTGCCTTTACCAGTGGACAGCAAATCCCATTGGTTCTTACCGTCCACGTCACCAAGGTCTCGAGGGTCGCCACCTTGCGGAGACAAGATAGTATGAACGGCAATGAGTGGATGGGCAAAGGCACCTCCTTGGCCACCCCGGTGAGTCAGGCCAAATGGCATCGATTGCAGTTTTCGTTATGAAAACAATTTCTGTGCAATACGAATCGCGACATGTCACGAGGAAAGAATGGCGGTGATGTGAAGAAAAGCACGGGAAAAAGCGAGATGCTTGATATGCTGTTACTCTCGTAGTCGGTACTGCGGTATTGCATTGCGAACACAAAGACAGCTTGGTTGATGTCTCCGTCATAGGAATCGATATAGCACGCAAGTTAACCATGTCCTTCACAGTATAGTATGAATGTTCTTTATTGCATACATATCTTAAATAAAATGTGCATGAAATGTGTGGTCCCATAGCCAAGAACTAGAGCGTGTTCTAATGGAAGTATGGATAATAGAAACTGTTATAGTTCTAGCAATTCAAATATGATATCACCATACAAGAAATAATGTTTACCTGCTGCGATGTTCGGCGATGCTAAACTGTGTATTATTTCATTATGCTGGGGCTAGTAAAAGTAGGGAAGCGTTCTATAATGAGGACATAGTAGGAATTACTCTATAGGAACAAAATACTGCGGCACTGGCCCACCAGGTTTTCAGCGTGAGGGGCGGAGGCATTGCTGTTTTTTTTGAGAAAATTGACTGAACGTGTTATGATTGCTCGCAGACAATGCTTCTAAATTGTGCTATCGTGGAGCAGGTTGGGACTCCCTAAGGTCCCTTTCATATTCTGACATGACTCCGTAGTGTAGTTACAGACTTTCGTCTTCTCTTTCATTCTTCCGAAGTACAGAGTAGCCAACCGGAGAGTTTACTCGCTAAGCTCTGTGTACTTTTTTACCCTTCTCTCTCTCTCCATGTGTGTGCGTGTGTTTTATGGCTCCGATTAGTGGTAACTTTATTCCTTCCCACTTTGGGATTTCCTTAGAAGATATTGGTTGCAGAGGAATGCCAAGCCTCTAAGAGTCCGTAGCCCCTTAGGGGCTTGGCTTGTCAGCGTCTCCTTTCGTCATTGTACACCATAAACTTCTCGTTATGACGTCATTCCATCATGGGCTCATGACGACACAATATCAACACAGCTTTTGACGCAATTATGACCTGATCATGACATGGCGAAGCACACTTTAGAGTCTCTGTTTGTGAACGTCTAGTGACGTCGCGGTGTTGTTCCATTATGAAGAATGAATGAGTACGCACCATGGAGGTAAAAAAAGCAAAGAAGGAGCATGACGCTACGTTGCCAGCCTTTGCAAGTCGACCCGTTTCGAAGCCAGCAGAGTCGGCCCAACACATGACCTTTTCCGGCAAGATCACGAAAGCAATGAGACTTGGCTGTAACTTCGAGGTATGGCGCGCGGTAAAGCTTCCACCCGCCATACCACGAAAGGTGCTGTTTCGGGGCGGACCGGCCGGCTCACGCAGGCAGTTCAAACACGGATCACCATCGAGAGTACTAAAACCTACCACACGCTCTGACGTTTTGATCAGGTGTTGAGCCGACACGGTGGGCTTCATTCGTGTGACGTGATCACGCTCCTTCCTTTCTTTTTTCTTCCGCCATAGTATGCACCACATAAATTGGGTGAATTCCACGACTCGCCTCTGGGCCATTAAAAATGAAGAAGCGAACAGTTATCCCAACAAATAGCCGATCATGTTGGTTAATCTTAAACACCCTTTCCTGCATGCTTTGCTCTTGCCCAGTTTTTTTTTCTTGTCAGCGCACTTAGCGCAATTGATGGGGATGTCGATGATTAAAGTGAATGGCGTCGTGTTCGATACCTGCGGCAGCGTACAGCGTTGGCGCCCAGTCGGAGATGTGCAGCACTTGCTGCGACGGTGGTCGGGGTAGGCTTCCGCTGGAACGTCCGGACCAGAACACCGCGGGCGTCCGCACGCCGCCTTCCCAAATTTCCTCCTTGACCCCGCGAAGGGGCCAGTTGGAGCCTGCGTTGGAGTACTTAACGGCCGATGAAGCCAGTGGTCCTCCGCCGTTATCGCTGGCGAAAATCACGATGCTGTCGGCGAGCATGCCTCGCGACTGCAGCGCCGCCAGCACTTCACCTACGGATTGGTCCATGACTTCAATAGCACCTGCGAACAAACGCGCGCGTTTTCGATGTAGTACATACGCATGCTTGTTGTCTTAATAGAGCGTTTTGGTCCGTCCGATATTCCGCTATTGGCGAAATGCCTCGAATATGCACGCAGTCACCCCTAAAACATGGCCGCACCGTCGCAAGTGGTTGCCGTCCATCTAGAATCTATCAGGCGGCCGCCGTGTGCCCTATAGGGTTTTTGCTCTGAAGTGGAGCTTTTATTTCCTTTAGATTCGTGTGCTGAAAGGACCCATGACAGCGAAAGCTTTGTTTCCGAGTTTTTCTATAGTAATTTGAAGCTTTGCGTCTAATAACGCCGAAATGATATCGTAATTGCTCTAACGCATCGTATAATTAATGCTAGCGGCGTTAATTCGGAGCGATTTTGTGTCAGTTCGAAAAGCCTGCCTAAATAGCATAAGAAACTAGCGCCCCACAGCAAAGCTGCGCCTGAGACAACGTACGGCGCTGAACCTTCAGTGACGCTGTTTTCAAATAGAGGGATCCCCGGGTGGTGAACAAAACGATGTTGAAGCCTTCAGAGTGTCCCCCTAAGAAAAAAAGAAAATAATTCTTAGCAGAAGGAGTCTAAACCACCTCGAGACACACAGAGCGAGAGGGGCGACGAACAATAGTCCTTGTCGGGTGCCACTCGCGGTAGCAAACGCGCCCCGCAAATGTTATTGACTTCTGCAACGTCACAAGGAAATCCGCTGTCTGCGTGAAACACAGAAAATGTCGATTGTACCTGAATACTCAGAGGAGCACGACCCCCCCCCCCCCCCCACCCCGCTACTTTTAAAACCAAATAAAATATCTTCTGGGCAACGCTCGCCGCTAATGATCGGTCAGATGTGGCCCCACATGCAGGACTATCAAACACAAGCATTACGCCTTTCCAAATTTTGTGTCGGGGTCCTCCGTCATTTTCGAGGGCCATACTCAAATGGGTGCTCCAGAAATCTCGGAAGACATAGATAACGCGTTTTTTAGTTGCTTTTATTCCTCCATAGGTGGCGACACTTGACGTGGCAGCTGCAGGTTGCAGCTATGACGTGAGCTATCCGGCGTTACGTTACGCCTTTGCCGATTACCGAAATACGGTACAGACGATAAACGCTAAATGATCTCCATTCTGGTTCTGCATGCGTGCGCACAAGTATGAACAGGGGCGTAGACAGAATTTCTTTATGGGTTGGGGTGGAATGAGGGGCGGGGGCTGAGCTATTTTTCGCCGGACCCCTTCTGGCTAAGGGACCGGTTCCCCCAATTGGAGAACGCTGCACACAGCTTGGTCTAGCTCTACTTTCTTTTGCATTATTTTACGCCCATTACACTTTCTACAAGAAACACTCTCATATGTTAACCAACTTCAGAAGATTCTTCTTTCGGTAACTGTTCTGAGACGTCAGCTTTGATTCACCATTCATTATCTTCGCTATGGTAGCTAATCGCGTGTATACGCTGACGAGGACGTGCTGCATGATTTTTGGAACGTGCTGCTTGCTGATCAGAAACGTGCGCGCTGCTTCCGTTTGTCTTCTAGGCTAAGGTCACGGAGCTCTTTCCGAAGCTTCACAACATGAATGGTATTTCGTCGACATCGTAGCATTCATAATAAGGTTTCCATTCTTTCAAAACTGACGTCAATTGTTTACCGCATCAGTCACCCAGGTGGCTTATTCGGTACGGTGTTCGGCTGCTGCAGACACGAAAGGTATGGAATCGATACCGGCCGTGGTGACCAACGCATTTTGGTGGAGGCGAAATGCCAGAGGCCCGTTTACTGTGCGATGCCCGTGCATGTTAATGAACCCCATGGGGCTGAAATTACCGTGGCCCCACAGTGCGGCTTCTCTCCTAGCACGAGTCACTTTGGGACGTTAGATCCAACGAACTAACCAACCAATAGCGTTGCCATAAATACTTTGCCTAAGAGGAGGCGCCGTTTCAACTATCCTTTCTGTGTGTTCCGGCGTGTTCTTTTCTGTGGAACCGAGAAGCTGGCACGACCAGAAGTTGTTGAACAATACCCTCCTCTCCCCCCTCCCCCGCCTCTACGCCAGAGAAATTTACCATTATCACCCAGTGGCCAAGCTAGCTTGCTTGGATCTCAAGGACCGCGTTTGTTTTTTGTATGCTGTGGCAGCCTAACCTGAGCTCTAACCGTGGTAGCACTGCGTATATCTCGTGTGGTAGAGCTACCCCATTCACCTTCTTGGCTTTGATGTCCTTGCGTATATGGTATTACATGGTGGGAAATAAAACATCGTATGTGATTTCCGAAACTCACCGGCCAATGCACTTCTGTTGTAGTTTGAGATGTACGCGAAGTTGTCCACGTTCTCTTTCGGTGCCTCTGCGGTGCAGTTGTCGCAAACGGTGTGGCCAGCCTCATGACAAACATGTAGAAACAGGGGCTGCGGAACAACAGTAAATGATGTCAGACGCTTGAGCCCTTGCAGCCTTGTATGTAGTCTTCCTCGCCCACCCTTCAAAGGATGCCAAAGCACTTAGAGGTCGAAATTTATTTGTGGTGTTACAGTTGTGCACGAGCCTTCAATTTTTCGAAACGCCGTAAAGGCGAAGGCAAAAAGCGTGGCTGATCCGTGTGTCATAGGAATCGCTATTACACGAAAGGAAAACGTTTTCGGAAAATCAGTTGAGCGTTTGTTGTGCAATATTTCGCCAAAAGGTGTAAGCAATGAATGCCATAGCCACAAATCGTAAAGCCATGCGAAGGACGAGAAGTCGCTCGAAATTTGCAAATTCTAACTAATGACGCAGCGCGTAAAGTATCTGAGACAATGGATTAGGGAAAAGACAAAGGGGATCGCTTACTTCCAACAAAAAACTAAATTTTATTTCGAAGAGCGTACAAATTCCTTAAGCACAAAGCACGCACGAACAGAACACACCATGGGATGAGCTGTCACAGTTCGACATTTAAAAGTGCTCTGCTCAGACACAAAATATACATCGCACTAGTACACACAAGACGAGCACGAACATTGTTACTAGTGTGTGTGCAGCGTGCTCCCTTCGCAAGCGCAGCCGCTGCAGCGAGAGAAGTGACCTTCGTGCTCTCTGTAACTCGCACATGCGGTGAAAGCCCAAGACATATGGCGCGATCACGGGAAAGTGCGGACGCGTGAGAGACCACGCCCTGTTGAGGCGTGCATTCACCGCGCGGGGCGAAGACATTTAGAGAGCGTTCTGCTAAGGTTTTTGTATATACTACCTTTTTATGCTACCTGACAGTAGCATATACAGTAACTTTACGTCCTGCGGATACTTCGTGCCATATCGCCACTGGTAACAGCCATGTTGAAGTCGCCGATCTCTGGGTACGGCCAGCGGTAAATGGTGTGTATAAAGCTCGCCATTAGTAAGTTGAAGAGCGCGCGCTTTGTGGCCGACTCGATTCGCACCACGCTCGACTTTCTACTATTTTTACAGCGATCGAAAGCTGTTATGAGATCACAACACACGGGTCGCGTGTGCGCCGCCGCCGCCGGTGTTGGTATAACCACTATCGCACGATATAAGAAAAATAAACTATGTAAATAAAAACACCAAGAACACAGTGGGATTCGAACCCGGGTTTGCTGCGTGCTGGTCTATTATTCAATCACTGAGCCAAGCCGGTGCTTGGAACTCCTTCGCAAACTAACCTCAGTCAGCCTCGATGTCGCGAAAGGAATCTTGTTGATATGAGTAATAAAGCGTTTTAGAACAGCAGAGGAGCAACCAGCGGTCAAATAATGCGAATTGTGCAACGAGTGGGCCGTCGAATGCTCCAACCTCTTACAAAAGCTTCTGGCATAGTTCATCATCGTCAGCTACATCACACACACACACACAAAAAGTTGCACAAAGCTCCTTGCAAGTGTGCAACTGGTACCACGCTTCTCCGAAGAATGACGAAGGATGGCATAGTCAATGCCTAAATACTACCCAATGATTTATGGCGTGTAGTGGGTACCCTCCAAGTGTGCTTGCAGCAGCTTACCCAATGAGTGGTAACGAAAGGGCGTTGAAAGGCCGCTTTTCCAGCTTTTTGTGTGACAATGCTGCGAGTTTCGCGCAGGCCTGGTGGTCTTTTTGCCCAGTTTTATTTCTTTGCGATCTGTCATTATATAATTCACAATGTCGTCGTATCAATGACGGAAATATGTCAGTCATCCGTGGGGGACCGTCGTGTAAAACACTTTGACGTTAAAAGGTGGGGATAGTGCCCATATATTTGCTATCGCTAGAAAAAAAAAAAAACTGTCTACTTCAAGCTTACTTTTTTTACGTCGTGTTCAGCGATGATGCGCTTGGCCTCGTCGTTGAACAGATGCGTCGAGTAGGTGCCGTTTAGATCTGTGGCAGACTGCGTCGAATGGCCGACGTTGCGCCATAAATCCAAGCCGCAATGTTGTTCCTGCGTATAGTGCAGCGGGCAGCACGAGAAGTTACGGTTCGTGTCTCACCCTATTTGTGCATATGTTTATTTATTTCTCGTATATTCAAGGCGCTAGTCATTACGGGAGGAAGTAAGGCACAAAGCACGTAAGATTTATATATTACAAGCAACGCGTCACCGGGAAAAGTCGTGAAAGAACACTATTCCAAGAATAGGATGAAGAAAAGTGCATATATGACATATTGAGCATAATAGCTAATAATAAAGAAGTAAAACACGTTTAATTATGAGGCCAGAAAACAAAAGTGGTAGCAACTTGGCCTGTTCGAAAAAAAATCAAGCACCCGGCAATGCAGTTTACGAGATCTGATGTTAGCGCCAGAACACACAGACTAGTGAGTAGGTGCCGCAAAACCGAGTCTTCCAATGCGTAGCCTAGCGATTAGACGCAGCAAAACCAAACTTGCACGTGCATATCATTGTCTTTTTTATTTTTGAGCAGGGGGGTCACGGGTGATTATGTAAGTGCCCAAGAAGCGTTCTTTGAAAACGCGCCAAAAAGGGCATGACACTTCAGCGTCTCAATGTGTTCAGCGAGAGTTTCATTTTCTTAGTATCCCTGGCGGTTGGTATCAACAATGCTTAGGCGGCCCAAAAAGTCCTCTGGTCCACTGTCGCGTGCCTATAGTGGTTTTCTCTACAATGTCGAAAATAGTCTATACATGTATGGCTATGCTGAAAAACGATAACGAAGTGCACCACGCAATATTGCTCCCAGAATTGTTGTGCTCAATCGGTCATTGTCCTGTTAATCGTCTACACGGCGATATATTGCGGGTAGGGGCAAAGCGCAGTGTAACTGCCTCACAATGAAGCCGTAGGCCTATACCGCAAGTCGTTAATCAGCCTCACGAGATTGGTAACCTCATCTCTATACTCTACAAAGGAAAACAATTTTGGATGGTTTCGCTTACATGTTAGACGCAAACAAACTAATCAAAGAGACAATAAGCCTATAGGCAAGATGAGGTTAATTGCTTTCTTCTCTAAAAAGGCCATGGCAAGGTCACCCTCTAAAGTGCAGTTTTTAGTGACGTATAACAGTAGAGTGTGTATTATCTGCGTTATTATCGAAAGTGTACTGTGAAATAATATTTCATTGCAAAGTGAGCTCTAGAAGTCGCCGCCTACAAACCCCGCCCGCTGCCGGACACTGCCATTTCGTCTTGGCGTGTCTGAAACTTTACAACATACTGCACGCCAGAATTCGGTCCTTGTAGGAAGGACACTCATAGTACACTAAAAAAAAAGGAATACAATACCGGAATATCAATACAGTGAATACAAGGCACGCGCAAATTTTCACACTCAACTTAGTAAAGGCACTCAGACTGCGTATGGTAAATGCAGTACTGTAATTACAACAGAAGTAAGTAAAATGGAGTAAAACATACAAAGTGGAAACGCAACACCTAACGCGTGTATTGTGGTAACTTGAAGAGGGCCATTCATTATATGCCCACATTTTAGGGGCGAAGCTCCTTAGGGCGTGGGCTGTGCGTCCCCTGTAGCCTGTATGTAGCCACCTCTAGTTTAGTTCTTGCAGTGTTCACTAGATGGCGGTACCGTCCCCTGTATGGATGGATGGTAAAACTTTATTTCGTCAGAAAGCAACTGAGGATGATTCCGTGTTGGGTGGCCATCAACCCAAGGTTGGCGGCGACCTGTGTGGCCCACTCCACGACCCTTAACTGGACGACTGGGTCTGAGCGTAGCCACCTCTAGTTTAGTTCTTGCAGTGTTCACTAGATGGCGGTACCGTCTCCTGTATGTAGCCACCTCTCGTTTAGTTCTTGTAGTGTTTACTAGATGGTGGTACTTGTAGCTGATGATGAAAAGATGCAAGATGTTATAAACTAGAAAGCGGTACTTGTAGTTGATGAAAGACGCGAGATCTTATAAAATAGGAATGATGTCACATATGGCGCGTGTCATTGGTTGAAGGCAATCGTTCGATTTACTGCGGCGACGTACGCTAGGGGGAGCGATGTAATAAAATCGAGTGGGCTAAATGTACAGAGGATTCATGGTTTACCAGGTTTACCTCCGGAGCTTCGCCCACTCATCATCATTCACTTCGTGGATATGGCGGAATTTTATTATTTTATCATGTGCTTGGAGTGCAGCCGTCGTTTTCTACCCAATTGTCGCCCGCTTCAAACCATTCGTTGTTGAATGCCGAACTCAAAAGAGCTCTAATAGCTCCAGTGCGCACGCAGCTGATCACGAACCAATATCGTCGACCGGAATGCACACGCTTGCTAAACACGCCGCCTTCTATATACGTAACGGCTCGCGAGTGCGCCTCCGCTGTCGTCAGACTCGGGTCGTTCACGCGTTCATAGCAATGCTCTTTACAAATTACGCTCCACACCAAATAAAGGAGCCGTGACACCCAACTATCGCTCGATTTTCGCTGGTCCTCGCTGTTTGAAGGTAAATATAAACTGTCAATCACCTGTGGCGCATACCCGCGTATACCGTGGTCCGTGGTATACGGGCATGTGCCACTTGTGTCAGACGGAAAGGGTTTAACGATGTACGGAGACAGGATCATGTCACGACCGGACACAGTCATATATACATATATATATATATATATATATATATATATATATATATATATATATATATATATATATATATATATATATATATATATATATATATATATAGGTATGTATTTATTTATTTATTTATTTATTTATTTGTTTATTTTACCCTCAGGGCATACAGCATTATAGAGGGGAGTGGGTTTAGAAGACAAAAAAATACAATTGAAACGTGAAAAACAAATCACATTCAGTACATGCGTACAACACTCGAGAAAAACGTGTAAATGAAGCACCGCGACAACAGGAAGCACCGCGACAAATCAAACAAGGAATCAAAAAATCAAAATCAAACAAGGAAGCACCGCGAAAAAAAAAGAAAAAAAAATAGAAAAAAAAATTGAAAAAAAAAACTACAACATGGCACAACGTATTTGCGATACACAAATGAACGGTAACCGAACAGCAGCAAACAAAACCAGGGAAAAAGAAAATTCGTTGAGCACATCAATGCATAACATTTTCTAGTGCCGCCCGAAAGCGTTCATGATTAATAATCGTGACTAGTGACGCAGGCAGGTTGTTCCAATCATGGCATGTTTTTGGTAAAAAAAAATGGGAGTATGTTACGGTGTTTTGGCGTGGAATATGAACCTTGTAATGATGGTCGAGGCGTTCAGATAGGAAAAAAGGAGGGTTGAGCCAACGTGATTTAAGTATGGGGTTATGGTGATACGCTTTATGCAGCACACAAAGGCGAGCAAGTTTCCGGCGAGTAGCAAGAGGAGCAAGGTCAAGGCTGGATTTCATGTTAGTAACACTGGAAGTGCGTTGATAGTTAGAAAGTATGAACCTTGCGGAGCGGTTTTGCACAGCTTCAATTTTATTAGATAGTGTTACATAGCCAGGGTCCCAAACTGAGGAAGCATATTCAAGCCTAGGGCGCACGTAGGTTATATATAGCTGCTTTTTTAAGGAAGACGGGGACAGCGAGAAATTTCTTTTCAAGTAGCCTAGCATGCGGTTTGCATTAGATGATACATATTCAATTTGGCGCGCCCAGGATAGGTTATTGGTTATGTGCACACCGAGATATTTGTAAGATTCAACTGACTCTAGTAAGGTATCTTTAAGAAAGTAATCAGGGCTAGGTAGTTTGTTACGCGAAATTCTCATTGATTTACATTTAGAAACGTTAAGATCCATGTGCCAGAGGTTACACCAGGAAATAATGTTGTTAAGGTCGGATTGTAGACAGGCAATATCAGTATCGTTAGTAATTTTACGGTAAAGCACACAGTCATCAGCAAAAAGACAAACTGGAGAACAAATGTTAGAAGGCAGGTCGTTAATGTATATTAGAAACAGTAAAGGCCCCAGCACAGAACCCTGAGGTACTCCTGAATGTACCGCCACCTCGGGAGAGTCAGTTTCGTTAATGGATACAAACTGCGTGCGGTTAGCAAGAAAGATTCGGATAAACTGTAGTACTTGTGGATCAATTTTCAAATGGCTGAGTTTATGTAATAGTAGCTGGTGATTTACTTTATCGAATGCTTTTGAAAAATCTAGAAATATACAGTCAGTCACAAAACCTGAATCAAGATATACATGCAGATCGTTAGTAAACGTGATTAGTTGTGTTTCACACGAAAATAATTTCCGGAAACCGTGCTGCGAGTAATGGAAGAGCTTATTTGATTCTAAATGCTTAACAAGGTTGGAAAAAATTATGTGCTCAAGAATTTTGCATGGAACCGAAGTAAGCGAGATGGGTCGGTAATTCGAGGGGTTATGTGCGTCGCCTGATTTGTGAAGGGGTACCAACCGGCCTGTTTTCCAATCTTTAGGCAAGTAACCGTCATCGAAACATTTAGTGTAAAGGCAATATAATATAATCGACATATACTCTTTAGTATTCTTCAGAAATTTTGAATTAATACCGTCAGGGCCACATGAAGAAGACAGTTTCAGGCTGCTGATGACGCCAGAAATTCCAGTTGGATCGAAAACTATAGGGTCCATTGGGAAAAAATTTACACACTGAAGATCTGGAAAATTATCTACAACCGGGTTACAAAAAGACCTGGCGAAGCTATTATTTAACAGCGAAGCGCACAGATGGCTAGAAACTGGTACACCGCGATTATCAACCAGGCTTATTGTGGTGTCGTTTTTAGGCTTCATTATGCTCCAGAAACGCTTAGGATTTGTCTTTAACAATAACGGTAGAGTTGACTGAAAAAAGGTACGTTTTGCCGTTAGAAGGGCCTTGGTGTAAGATGCGGCTGCTAATTTGTAGGCTGACCAGCGTTGCGGCCCAGTAGATTTCTTGGCAGTACGATAGAGCCTGGCTTTCTTGTTAGACAATCGTTTCAAATAACGGGTAAACCAGGGAGCATTAGTATTACTATAAACGCGCCGCAACGGTATATGTTTGTTGATTAATCGATAGACCTGTTGTTTGAAGGAATTCCATATGTAATCAACGCTTAGTTCTCTATAACGTGGCAGTAAGCTATCAAGAAAAATACAAAGCCCCGTATTAATAGCTTCGAAGTTGGCTCTATTGTAGTCCCTGATGCTTTTTATGCGCTTCTGTTTTCTTGTAGCAGGAAGGGAAAGAGCGAACTGCAATACGTCATGGTCGCTCAAGCCGGGGATGTGTGTTATTGACGAAATAATATCTGGGGCAGATGACAGGACGAGATCAAGCAAAGACGATGATTTCGGTGTTACACGGGTTGGCTGTTCGACAAGCTGGGATAAGTTAAAAAAAGAGCAAACGTCGAGAAACGATGATGCATCAGCAGATGCAGGTTCGACTAAAGGAGTGGAGTGCAGCCATTGAATATTGGGATAATTAAAGTCACCAACCAAAACAATTTCTACTCCTGGATATTTTACCACAATTTGATTCAAACTATCATGAAGACCTTCACAAAAACCGGTAGCAAAGGATGGAGACCGATAAGCGGCGCCAAGAATAATTTTCTTATAATTGAACGTTAAGCAGCACCAGATAATTTCAAGGTCTGTAGTTACAGAGACAGCAAAAGATTTTAGCTGGTCACTGATTGCGATTAGTACACCACCACCTGTCCTGTCACTGCGATCACGTCGATATACCACAAAATTTTTGTCACACTGAAATAACTCATCCACCGATATTTTGCTCGTGAGCCAAGTCTCCGTCAGTACGACGATATCGGCTTCAGAATCATTGATTAATGCGTTAAGTCTATCCTTCTTTTGATATAGGCTACGGTATGTATGATATAGGCTAGGTATGTATATATATATGTATGTATGTATATATGTATGTATGTATGTATGTATGTATGTATGTATGTATGTATGTATGTATGTATGTATGTATATATATATATATATATATATATACCTTAGCGCACCAACAACGAGTGGCCGCTTATTCAAACCCTGACAACCCTGACGAAGACCGGTCCACCGGTGAAACCGTTGGAAATAAGATTAAGACAACCGTTAAGTTCTCTCTCTCTCTCTCTCTCTCTCTCTCTCTCTCTATATATATATATATATATATATATATATATATATATATATATATATATATATAAAGGGAAACAAATGTATACCTAAGGGCTCGTTTTCCCGTGTTTTGACACAATATAATGAGATATAACAGACAGTAATGTCAAGGAATGTACAGGGGAAGTTATTAGAACCAATGGAATGTAAAATGTAACCTGCTCACGGCTGGTTATTTTTTCACCCACTTTTCTTTCTTATTTTATATTCCATTGGTTCTAATAACTTCCCCTGTACATTCCTTGGCATTACTGTCTGTTATATCTCATTATATATATATATATATAATAATAATAACGATCACGAGAACACCCGGATAGAGGCGGACGGACGGACAGATGGACGCTTCGTCCCTCTCATCATCATACACTTCGTGAATATGTTGCGACTCTTTCTTTATTTGCATCTATCTAGAATAACACTCGTGGAAACGCTATTTTTTTTTGCCCACGATGAAGGACGCTGACGCCGGAGTTACTGTGAAACGAGCTCGATAACCTTATCGCGTTAATATGCATGGACTTCCAGATAGCAGTAAATCGCTTTAGCGGCAAGCTGTGCGTCTGTTACACTTCCGGTAGACATCGTTTTTGGTGCCCGAAGTCGATTAATTTCCTCCCGTGTAATACAGCCGCGCGTGGCTGATAGGGCACTTTGCTTGTCGGAAATACCCAAGCTCAATGCACTGTTGTAGTTTGATGTATTCAGGATCAATGTTTGGTGCACAGGTGCTCCTGTTGCTTACCTAGGCAAGGACATAAATTGCATACGTTATGTGTACATTGGTTTCTAGTGACACGTTGGCCAGAACAGGCGTATTTTATGGATATTGATACTACGTTCAGTAACGAGAGTAGTCCATCTGAAGATTTTCGTTATGTTGTTGGAAATACAAGCAGAGTCGATATGGTTACATGTAGCGTACGACCAGTGCACAAAACCTATTCGCACGTTAAATATAATGACAAAACAAAATTGATCGCCGGCGCGAAGACTAACCTTCAACTAGTGTTTTTTTGAAGTCTCTAATACGTAACCATGGGCTTTCAGCTAACTTTTCTGATTCAGGTATACTTTTTGACCTTGCACACCCTAAGGAAGCGCTGGGAATAACTCAACAGTGCAGTCATGTAGCATAGATGAAGTAATCGGACGTGGCTGAACAAGCGTTAAAACATTTCTATTGAATATTTTTCGTTGGAGTTTGTTTTTAAGGTTAGCAATCTTTGCTAATCACTCGGTTTATTGGATTGCCAGTTATCTAGGAATGTATGAAATATCCCGACGTTCTGGAGTCACGGCTACAACTGTTGCTTTGGATATTTTCACTAACAATACTAAATAATACCTTGATTAAGCAATCTTAGCTCTGTGCCCAGATAGAGCTAGTTGGCTGAAACACCTTGTATCTCTCGCGGAGTAAGCAATATGAATTATAAAAAATGTGCTAATCAGGAAGAAGTATACCACTCTAGAAAAGACCCACACAAAGCGTGCGCTTATTATCTTCGTCTTCGTGTATTGGAAGCCTCTGTACTTGTTCGGTGTTCGTTTTCCTCTTTCGCGCATTTCTTAATACTTCATAGAAATGAACCAACAACCGTTCGAGGCATTCTAATTCAGCAAACGAAGTCCGGTTTTAATTACGTATTGCATCGCCCTTCCATCATCAAAAGGCAATTCATATTCAGAAGACGCTATCACGCGTGGCAGTCGAAAGTATATGAACTAAAGAAACAGGCATGCAGGCTCTGGTTACTCACCTCCCTAATGGTGTGGTTGAAATAAAAGATGTCGCCGTTGTAGTAGCCGAGGAATGTGTCGAAGCCACGCCAAGTCGGTGTGTGCTGCACACTCTTGTACCCCAGGTGCCACTGCGTAACGTACAGTAACAACCGATAGTTGCATAGTTTGACGTTGTTTTGCTTACAGAGTCTACTAGAAAATAATGACTGCGTGTTGGATTGAAGATATATGTCGAAAAATAGAGAATTAGGGAGACTGAATGAAAGACAGGGAGGCTAACATTAGTTAAGTTTGTGCAGTTTACTGACCTCAACGTGGTCAAACGAATGGAAAGACTGGGGGAGCGAGCGCAAGCAGGTGGTAGGAAAGTAGTCGAGAGAGTTACGTGCAGCTGTTGGAGAGAAGGAAAGAGGAGAGTGGTGCATGCTTAGTGTGAGTGCGGGCTATGGACGCGTGACGTACCCTCCGAGCAAGAGATGCACCGCAACTAAAAGAATGTGGCTTTCGCCTTCTAGTCGTCCTGTACAGTTCAATGCGTAAAGGGCCCGGGATCTCTTCTTCAGATGCGAAGCAGCTTACGCCGAAGCTCAGTCTGGTTTGTGCAACCACCCTTACTGCGCACGTGCAACAGCTAGCACGAGCACTGCCCAAACGCGCTCACGCGCTAGGGCGTGCTCTAGTCTGGCTCCTTACACTCTCAGCAATCACGTGATGGCGTCCGAGAACGAGGTTCTGCAGACGTGCCATGAACCAACTCGTTGTATTCTAGTCCGAACGCGCTGGCACGCGCTAGCACTTTCGGGTCTACGTCTGTGGCCGTGTAAGAAGCAGTGGCTTCTCCCCCTTACACTCTCTCGGCAATCACGTGACGGCGTTGGGGAACAAGATTCTGCAGGCGCGCGGCGAACCCACGTGCTCCCTGCCGCGTGGCGTGCTCCAACAAGAGTTCGGGACAAGTAACGGCAACAGAAACTACAGCGAATTTAGGTTGTGCTCCACTTACAAGGACGCGTTAAGATCGGGCAAGGCTGCTTTGCACTCTACTCATGGTTCCCTTCGCATATACCCCTTCCCTTTTTGTATTTTCGACCAAGAAAGATAATGATAACCTAGACCATATCTGTAGGGGTGTGTTCGGAACCCATCGCCTAACTCTCCACACATTAGTAGTAAGGAGCAGTGGAAGGCTGCTATGTGCAGCCCGGCACCCGAGGTCCAGGACCAGATCCTGGACTAGGCGAAGAGGGTAGCGGGGACCTACGCCGGGTAGAGGTTCTTCTGCTGCCTCCGCCACCGCACCTTTCCGTTTTGGGATAAAGTTTTTCTCCTCCTCCTTCTCCTCCTCCCTTTAGAGTGAGATGGTGTAATTTGTCTACGTCGAATCTGCTCATGCACCGTTTGAAACTTCAGAGGATCTCACCTTTCCCACCATGTGTGTGCTGTATCCGAGCCTCTTCAGCCACTGCGGCAGGAGCTCGAAGCGCAGCGAGAGGGTGTCCTTCGACGCTGGTGGGAACACCTCGTATCCCACATCTGTTTCAGTGCATGAAAGAGAGGGAGAGATAGCTGAACAATCGTATGTTATTGCAAACAACAGCGCGTAGTCTTAACCCTTAGCAGTTGGCTACACTATTGCGCATAATAGTTGGCCTTGATTATAGCTTGCGCCTGGTTCACTAGCTTGCTTCATGCTTTCGGTCAAAAACAATGCACACTCTACGATCTTTCAATAGGTATGACCTTTGGGAGTGTTGGTAGTTTATCTTAAATGATTAACCATAGCGCAATAACGAATAACACGGGACAAGATACAGACGGGGCAAGTCGTGTCTTGCATCAGAAACCTATTGCAGCTGTCGTTTGTGATGTGAGATGAGCTATAGGATCCTTTCTGGTCTTGCTTCTACTTTTCTTCGTTCGTTGGGATGCCACGAAGTTTATCGATTGGGGATTGAATACTTGAGCAAGTAATAAATAAATAATAAATAAATAAAATAAGTAAATCAATAAACACGTGTTCAGCGATGCTTTCGCGAAGCAATGTTCTCCAGCAAACACCATTGCGTACCCGTTGGCATGGTGACGTAACCCTAGTAATTAAGCAATATCTGCTTCAATACTGTATACATTTGCTGCGCTGTTGAGGCGACATACACACGTACCGGTACGTGCCGGGTAGCGCGCCGTCATCAGCGCTGTCCGAGAAGGCGTGCAGTCCGGCGAAGTGTAGTGCCTCTGCAGCATCATGCCGCTAGCGGCCAGAGCGTCGATGTTCGGCGTGGGAATCTGCCGCGAGCCATGGAAGCTCACATCGTTCCAGCCCTGCGTAGTACAAATGTTCGTGACAGTGTAGACAGTGTGAAAGCGGTGGTGGCTGAGCTGCGAGCTTGTCGTGGTGCATGCATACATCGGCCCACAAAAGCTCACCGCACACTGGTCACCATTCAAGAAAAAAAAAATAGTAGTGGGCCGAGTCACGCACCTCGGGATTTTCGATATAGTTTTGCATCCGTTCATTAATATAGATGAATGGATGGATGCTACCCGCTTTCATATAGAATGCGGGTCACAGAAAAAACGTCGCGGAAAGACGAGAACGAAGGCAAAGCTTCAAGCTTCATCATCGTCGTCATCGTCATCATCATAATCATCATCGTCATTGTCATCGTCATCGTCAGCATCTTCATCGTCATCATTATCATCATCATCGTCGTCGTCAGTCGTCAGTCGTCGTTGTCATCATCCTGGGAATGCCCACTGCAGGGCAAAGGCCACTCTTAGCGAGGTCACCAATGTCATAGTGATCAATCAAAGCCACAGTTCTGCCGCAGAACAAACGTGCGCTATTTGTACAGCGGTTGTGGTGGCGACGATAATCGGGATGGTGTTAATGCAGGAAGGATTGGCCTGGTGGACTATCTTTCTCTGCAGATAATTACAAAGAAGATAATTAATTATTATTGCGTTGAAACTAAACTGGGGTAGTCAGTGTTGGAAGGTATAATGCTCTCTGTTTTTATTCCAAAATGCACAATGTGGGATCTTCTAAATTAAGCAGACACTTGGTTTTTTTTCTCGCATTAGTAGTATTGTGTGTTTAGACATTTCCTACATTTATAGAACCTTCAGGCACTACTATCGTTTCATTGGTGACAACTGGCAAGGCGTGTGCCAGATCGTCTAAAGGTCTTTTCACACGCTTTAGTTAGTTTAAAACTGCTATAATCACAAGACATAGTGCAACCACTTTATTGCTAAATGTGTTGAGACCGATATAGAAGCTCAATATCTGTCTGCCTCGGTGGATCAGTAGTTATAGTGCTCGGGTGCTGACCTGAAGGTCATGGGTTCGACACCGAACGTGGCGGTCGCATGTCGGCGGAGGCGCCATCGGGGGAGGTCTGTACACTGAGCGATGTATTTGTACGTTAAAGAGAAAAAAAAGCCAGATAGTTGGAATTTCAGGAAGCCTCCACTACGGAGTCTCTCATAATAAGATCGTTGTTTTGGGAATTACTATTACTAGCTCAATATCTTTTCATAATTGCTACACCAGCAGAATAGTCATAATGCGAACGATTTTGAAGCGAACACCAATTTACTTTGACATATCTCTTTCTGTCAGTCGTCGTGCCCTTTCTGATCATGGTCATTACTACGAGGCTTCCATCCGCGCATCTTATAAGTATCCAAGACGTACGAGGTTGCGGATAAAGCATATCGCTGATTAGTATGGATACGGGACTTTCGTTGAAGTGGGGTAGAGGAGAAAGAAGTGGATGTGTTCTGTGCCAAGCCTGACTGCTGCAACTATCTATCATACCGCCTGTACAATAAACATCTATCACCCGTAAAATAATTGGTGGAGAGTGCTGGGTAACGCTTGGGAGCACCGCACAAGTACGCCGGAAAACACACGCCTGGAGCTTCGCTGGAGCCGCAGACTCGCAGGACTTCCACCGCTATATACCAGTCATCATGAACCATGACGGCGAAATCTAACCAGTTGCGTTTAACACCTATAGGCACCATTACAGAGAACCGCGCCCGTTCTCTGGGAAACCTGGAGGTGACGTCGATGAATGGCCTAAGTACTATCGGCGGGCGAGTCTGTATAACCACTGGGACACTACCGGTCAGCGCAACTATTCGTACCAATAGCTTGAAAGAGGCAGGTTTCAACAAATTTTCACTCACAATATCGTCTCCCAGGATGAAGATAATGTGTGGAGGTCTGGAAGACTCGCCGGGTTCGGTTTGTAGAGATGCAGCCAGGCACACCCAGCTCACGAAAATCCATGCGCTGTCGAGGGAAGGCAAAAAAATAAAAATAAATTTATCCATGTTTAAATAGGCAATGTAAACAGGAATGACATTAGCAGGCAACGGAAATCGGTATACTTAAATGTAGATCCACTTTAGAGAACACCAGGTGGTCGAAAGTTACCAAACTCTCCAATACGACGTGCCTCCGAACCATATCGTGGTTTTGGATTGTTACACCCCAACAGCTATTATACGCAATGTACACAAGGAGCTTTTCTTACCTAGCTGTTTGATCTTTTTATACTTTACGAAATTAACGAACTAAAAGAGCCGCGGGAAGGCTTTGGAGAAAGTATGAACTCCATAAAGCATTTGCGGAACAAACCGATAAAGTTGTGGAACAAACCGGATCTCTGTAGCTGGTAGGTATTACCGTGATAACACAATGTACGAATAGTATTGCATGTCTTATGTGTCACTATTCTCTGGCAACGTTTAAGTAGGCTGGAATTAACGACGATTGTCTTTCGTTAGCACGATATGTCTTTCTAACTCGACATCGGAAAGAGTTGAAGATTGGGAGATCGACCAGGGTGGGTAGATTTAGGAAGTAGCCAAAATTCAAGTTAAAAGCAGCTAAAGTATCCACTTCCTTTAACTTTCTCGCCAAATTTGTGGTCAAATTGGAAGTAAAATGGTATTTTATTCAAGATTTCTTGTTATATAGTAACTACAATATGATTGTGCAAAATCATATATATATAACCAAATTTCTCATATCATTAGCAGTGGGATGGTAGTAAGAAAATATTGAATTCTCCCTTTTTATATCACATGATATATGATCCTATTCTCGATAAGTAACAGGTTCTAATTCAATGCTGTTCGAGGGAAAAATAGGCAGGCTTTTAATATTTCAGGGGACGTATATATTTGCATTTTCTGACATTTAGCTCCACAAGCCACTTCGTGCACCAAGTGATGCAGCAACTATAGCGTGTTGGTTGGTACTAGTTCAGTGCACCTTTACATTGCCATGCACAATAGAGTTCTTGCCGGAGACGGGTAATTCCGAAACCATTCCGCGGACCATTCACTGGTAACATTAGGAGATGAAGTAGTTGTACCTTGAAGCATCAAACCAAAATTCGTTTTAAATTTTACTATAATGGTTTACCACGATGGAATTTTGTGGGGATATTATATTTGTTTTTTTTTCGAGTTCCTATGCGAGCAAGTGCTCTGCTACCAGAATCAGACATAGGTGTTAGAATACATGGCGGGCAGAGTAAGCGGCGCAGTAGCCACGCGTTTGCCAACGTGCACGCTACTTCGCCACTGCGATTCCGCTGGCGCCACGTGCGTTGTGTGGGGAGCTTTGATGCGCACTATATAGCCTGCCACGCGGGGCAGGACATGCGCACACATTGATTTTGATAGCTTTGGCTGGTCTTTAAACTTTCTCGTTAGTTTATTTGCAAAAAAAAAATTTTAAAGAGCGGCTGCTGAATACTCCAAAACAGAAGTTGAATGTGGCTGAGGAGTGGCAATGGCGCAAACTTCAATTTCCGTTGCCACAAGTGGTCCTAAAGTAATGGTAACGAATTAAGGGCAAAGTAGCCACCAATGACAGCCCTAACAACGACTACCGTCGTAGAGCATCGGACGCGTTGCCCGAAAGTTGTAGGTTCGATCCTCATCGATGACAACATGCTGCTTTCATTCAATTTAATTCATTTTATATTTGCGTTATAGTCACATATACTCAGAGATAAAAACAGTGTAGAATCACAAAAACTGCAAATAGTGTCCCCTATGCCCCCCTTCCCTTTTTTTTTAAACGAAATGATGCAATAGGATAGGTTGGTGCCATTATGGTAACACCGGCTACTCCTTCTCGCTTAGCAGGCAAAATATGGCGTAAGAAAAAAACAATAAGGGCACAAAATACAAGACAATTTACAACATACGGTGTAAAAGTACACAATAGCCAAACGTCACAGGTCAGTCGAGATACGCCTAATAGGTTCACATGTACACAAGTACCACATACAAGGTCAGCTCACACTGAGACAAATGATTACAAGTAGGCGCATTGTGGGGTAAAATGAGATACGGGGCAAAAAGCGACATTTTTACTTTGCCAGCTTCTGTAGCTCGTAAAAAAAAACTCCTTTTATTTGTTCATATTTTTCAGAAACAGGTGCTGGTCCTTTTCTACTTTTTTTCATATGAAAAAGTTGATGATTGCCCAACAGCTTTGGTGCGGAATAAAATTCGCGGCTGGTGTTAGTGTGTTCGTGACCCGTCTAAAAAGGGTGAAATTCCGTGCATTAAGCTACTGCTGCGTCAGCACAGTAATGTAAATATTTGTTTTGTTTCTTTAGCCTACGAGCTACAGAACACCAAAAGTTTGGTTCGTTTGGTGTCCAGGGACAGAGCGGATGTTTTCACAGCGAAAGCTGTTATGAGATAACAACTCGGGTCACGCGCCAATGTCCGCTGCCACCGCCGGTGTCAGTAACCACATGGCGCGAAATTGAAAAAACAAATACCCATAGCACCAAATACACAGTGGGGCGTGAAACCCGAGTCTGCTGGGTGCCAGCCCAGTATTCTACCAATCAGGTACGTGGGGTGCTTGCGACTTGTTGGCAAACTTGCCTTAGGCAGGCTTGATGTTGGGGAAGCAATCCCGTTAATACGACTTATAAAGCGTTTTAAAACAGTGAAAGAACAACCAGTCATCGCACAATGCGAATAGCGTAACGAGTGGGCCGTCAAACGCTCCAACACATTACAAAAGCTTGTTTTTGTTTCCCTATTCATTGTGGGGCATACCCACTTCAGCCATAATTCTTCATCGTCGTCAGCCACTGCATGAACATGAAGTTGGCACAAAATTCCTTGCAAGTGCTTAGCGGATACCACGCTTCTCAGAAAAATGCCAAAAAAATAGCACGGAAAACGCCGGCCTACTACCCCCCAAAATTTATTTTTAATACTCTAATGCCCTATTGGCTATCAAGAAAGTGTGCTTGCAGTAGTTACGCAATGAGTGTTTTGAAAAAGCTCTGAAAGGCCGCTTTTCTAGCTTTCGCTGTGACTGTGTTGCCCCTTCCGCGCAGGCCTGGTGTTTTTTATATTAAATTATGACATGTGAGAGGGGCAAAACGCGACAGAAAGGCATTCAATTGCCGTAGAAAGTGTTTTAATTATTTAACCTATAATTTACACTCAGTACGTGTTAATTTTACGTATTTATTCAGGTTATGTTTACACATTACGCATTTGTTTAGGAGGGTGCGGACATATAAGAATATTATATAGAACTTTCTGGGGGAAAAACGACATGAAGAAGCACTGATTGCCGTTCAAGACATGACTTCTTCCCTTCGCGCTGCATCGAGGTTTTTCCGTGTTTTCAAGGATGCTCTCAAGAGACGCATAAAAATGGCGGAATCTCCAAGTCAAGCATTTGACGAACACGTCTTCGGACCGAGTTTTAATGACGTTTCTCAAATAGGCGAATTGAAAAAAAAAAGAACATGCGCTAGAAAATCTGAATCTTGCACAGTTTCAAAGTTATTGGCTCGCAGAGCCTGGCGGACGAAGTTAAAAGCCATGAAAGCCCTAAACAGTTCTGCATAAAAATGGCAAAAAAGAGGTTAAGAAGATACGTCAAAACATATCTAGCCTTCAATTGTTGAATAATCCAATGATGTGCAAGTGTTCAACAAAAAGACATTAGCACAATGAAAGGCTGGTGTTGTTTCATCTGCAAGGAGTTTGGGAGCAATACAACACCGTGTTTTGTGTAGACTGAATGCGTGGAATCCAAGGACTGGTCTTCTTAAGACTGCGTAATGGCCCAAGAGTGAATTTAAAGTCTTTTTATTGCAAAAACTGAAAAAAGGAACTTTTTTTCACACACTGTCGTTTTGCCCTAGGCAGCGTCTTGTTTTGCGCCGCTGCAGTTGGCCCGAAATGAGACATCAAGACCATTTCTATTTATTTTAATTAATGTTTTGGATGGTGGCATAAGGCAATATTTATGTATCACACACCTTGTACCCGAAGGAAAGTTTATGCATTGATGTTTATTTGTAAAGGGTGAAATAAAAATGATTAATTATTTTAATTTTTTTCGCACTTATCGCACCTCACGCTAATATGCCTTCATTGACTTTATTTTTCTTGCCTTCACGAAATCACCTGTAAAGAAGAAAACTAGCCCCTGGAACACTTTTTTCTTTGCTCTATTCATTATTTCACATAGCATCAGAATCGAAAGAAAAACAAAGAGACAAACAAGACGATCGGTATGTTTTTCTCCTTACCAGAACAGTGCAGCGTTCTTGAACATCGCGCGCCAAGGGTGGAACAGCGCCGGCCCGACCCCTGCTCTTGGTCTTATATCTCGTTCCGTTCAGGAAGCACACAAAAAGAGCAATCAGGGGGAAGCTTCGCACCCTTCGCGTCGGCGTCATCGCGCTGTTCACCACTGGAGTGACAACCAAGGTTTCGCACCTGTGGCCCAGTCTAACAGTGTGCGCTTAATATTGGATGTTGGAGCCGTAGCCGACGCTATAGAGTTTGAAGCCGTGTAAACACAGGTGGCTCATTGCGATGATACAAAAAAGAAAGAAATTATGGGGGGAGGGGGGCAGGCCAGCAACTGTTGTAGCGTATAGGCAAAACCGGATGCCTGAATATGCTTCAATGAGAATGTATTATTTCTTGAACCTATGCTTGCCTTATCTGCTGTAAGCGTTGTTCTGTACAACGCAGACTCATATTTGGACACCTCAGCGGCTCCGGTTGTACTAATGCGGTGCCTGATTGCTTACACAGAAGTCGATGGTTCGATTCCAGTTGCGACGTTTGCTCTTTGATGGGTGCAGTATGCTTGGGTACCGTGTATTTAGATGCAAGTGCGCGATGGACAACCACACGTAGTGAAAATTTCCGGAGCTTTACACTACAGTGGGTCTCGTAGTGATGTTGTGGGTTTGGCACGTAAACTTTAATTTATTTATTCGAGATTGTCGCAGGTAGTCAGGGTTTTGCATGCCAAGGCCATAAGCGTGTGCAGGGTTCCCCTTAAGATTAAGGTGGAAGGGGGAAGGTTCATCACAGCCCCCCTTCCTCCTTCATTAGGTCAATGTCTGGGGCAGACTTTGAACTCCCCCCCTCCCTGTTAGGTTACGTTAGAGGGGGGGGGGAGCCCCTTCTCTACGCGGGTTAGGATCCGGGTATTCGGGTTGGAATACCGCGGCCTCATCAATTTTTCTCCAAGATTTCTCTCCTGATATCTTGCTGTGTGTTTTTCGCTTGGTTACTTTGCCATTCACCACACACCCTCACATCTCTTCCTCACTTTTTTGCTTCTCCCTTTGCTACCTGGAGAGAAAATCGGCGTACTTGTTCTGGGTGTGAATTGGAAGATTAAGATGAAGAGAGCGCATGATGTCGGTTCATGATGATAACAATTTTGAGTCACGATACACTACTGTTAAGGGGAACAGCTCAAAAAAAAAAAAACGGAATGGAGAAAGAATTACAACACACAACCGCTGTCCTTCAAAAAAACCCTTCTACAGTACTGTTGTGTGTCACTCATGCCGCTAAAATGCAGTATGAGCTCGGTATTTCGAACACTGTTAATTCGAACGTGCTGTTAATTCGAACCGACTACCTGAACCTGGCATAGCCCTAATTCTAAAAAACAAACAAAAAAAACTTGCGATAATTCAAACGCGTCGGTATTTACAATGATTCATTCGAGTTAAGGGCCCTTGGTTTTCATAGCTTCTCCAAGAAACCGGCCCAAAGTGGTTACAGTTTTCTGCAAAACTAAATGAAACCAACTAGAGATGCAAAACAATGAAACAGCACCAGTTCTCAGCAGATGAGAATTCGGAGGCTATGCTGGAGCTCTTGAGCAAGTTGCAAACGATGCTCATGGATTCAAGACAGAAGAAACGCAAGCGAATGATTAAACTGATTACAATTGACTTCAATTGCGTTAACGCTCTGCCATTTAAATAAACGTGGTTTAGAGCATAAATACCTTCATATATCTCACAATAAGGCTCAGTGCTGACATGAATGCATGTCGGTGGTTGTTTTTGGCGCATCGCTAATCAATTGATTCCGTTTGCTGTAAAAGCTCTATGAATTTAATTCATGAAACAACCTACCACAGATGTGTAGTAGCACCTAGTTCGCAATAACGATTGCATAGGTGGCTTCTTTGGACTCTGTCCACGCAGTGTGATGCGATGTCCATTCTTTCTATAACAGCTGCCGGCTAACTCAAGCACTGCTTAATTAAAAAAAATTATAGTACCCTCCGAGTTCGAGTTAACTTGCTTTTACTGCAATTTAAAAAATATAGGCCCATGTGCTACTTCTTGTCCGACCAAGTGCTTCTATTTGGTCTGTCATAGTCGTGCCTTAATCAAAAGTACGCTCCAGCCGCGTTTTCTATTGCCGTCGACCTTTAGATGGGGTTAGCCATAGCGGAGTACTATCGAACGGAGGAAACTCCTATATAAGTGTAGCGCATGTTGGCGCTCGTCGTGCACCCCTTACCAAAGTGCGGAACGCTGTTTGTGGCATACCTGTTGCATATAGTGAACTTACCTTTGTAAGTTCACTATATACATTTTGTGTGTGTGTGTGTGTGTGTGTTTGTTTGTTTGTGTTTAGCCGCGTCCTTTATACCAAAAGCCCTGCCCAGGCTGGGGTGGGTTGAGGTCAGAGATGCTTACGATATTGCAGACGAGTGTGGTGAAGCTCGTCACCAGGGCTTCCAGTAACAATACAAAGGAAGAAGTGGATGTTTATTGGCTGACAACTGTGGCGTTGTTTTCCTTATAAAGTTTTCTTGTTAATTATAACAAGGGTTAGTTCTGCGCAGCTGTATTGTTCGTACAATCTCGAAAGAACACTCGGATGTGGAAGAAAAAAAGTCACAGCTTTGCCCCAAAGGCGAAGCAATGAACGCGACCGCAACAAATCGTAAGGTCAAGCGCAGAATGGCAAGAAGATCGAAACGTGCCTGGCGTTTATCATTCACAAATGACGCATGAAACGTTCTCACAGGTACAGATGAACGTGAATAAGAGTCTCAGTTGTTACTTCACTGTGTCTAAAAAGCGCGCCCTTTTCAGACACAGTTACAGGGCGCACAAATGTCACTGCAACAATTGCCGTAACGTTTGTGCGCCCAGTAACCCCAACAGAATCGTTCCAGCAAAAAAACCAAGCATTTCCCCGAGGGTGAACATGGTTAAGTGCGAATGAACGGGGTGATGCTATGAGGGGTATTTATTAATTCGCACTATTATATTTATTAATCACACTATGGTGCCTTTATGGTGTAATGGTTCCTGGGAATCGCAATTTGATCACACGGGGGAGTTTACGTTAACTCACTGGCGAATGCCAACGGATTTTAACTTTACTCCCCCTCATAGCATTCGAGCCCCGGACGAGCGAAGTCCAGGGCTCGCACCTTCTCCCGCGCGGCACGTTCACTGGCTCGAACGGCTTCGGGAGCGTCCACTCGCCGTTGACGATTGCGAGCGGCGTCTTGACGCCGGCCTTCATCGCCCTTCATCGCCCTTCTCCGCCTGACGCTTGCGTTGTCGTTCCACTTCTTGGGCCGCGTTCGCGGCTCGATGCTGACGCCTCATCTCGGCCTCGCGAGCACGCAGTTCACCATCCGCTGCACGCTTCGCCCGCTTGTCCCCGGCCTCGCAAGCGCGAAGTTCGGCATCCTCTGCACGCTTCGCCCGCTTGTACTCGGCCTCGCGAGCGCGCAGTTCGGCATCCGCTGCACGCTTCGCCCGCTTGCACTCGGCCACGCGAGCACGCAGTTCGGCATCCGCTGCACGCTTCGCCCGCTTACGTTCGGGCTCACGAGCTCTTCGCAGCGCCGCCTTGTCTTCCAACGTCGGCGAAAACACCGCGGTACCGTCACCTCCAACGACGGGTGCAGTGCTGGCATTCGGTTGTACTGCATTCGTTGTTGATGGTAGCGTTGCCTCCGGGACATCCATCGCACGACCCGCTCTCAACGGGAGACTGAGAGAGAAGGTGGGCGCGCGAGAGAGAGGGGTGCGCGCGCAGCTGTAGTGAGCGAGGAGAGCGGAGGAGCGAGCGAAGGGGGATATCAGCGTCGCGTCCGTGGCTTATTCGGTAGAGCGTCGCGCTGCGGCCCGCCAAGTCCTCTTTTTTTTAAATATAGAGAGAAGACTGCGGACGCCGCCGACGGCGGTGGATGGTTTGGGGTCGCTTATAAAGTGTATTCACACTTAAAAAACAAAGGCCAAGGAAGATGTATGGCTGTTCACACCACGAGATAAGCGCGCGCGTTAGCGTCCACCCTGCTGCCTCTCTGCGGGGCTAAATACGCGTGAGAGATGAGAGCATGCGCTGCCACGCGCTCATTGCACTATCTTGCTGGCAATGCTAACGAACGATAGTTCTCCCCAAGATGCCCGTCACCAGCGGTCAGTGGTAGATATAGATAGCTCGCTGTTTGAACGTTGATGGAGGTGCTCCTTTGTGGCTCAGTGGTCAACGCCTCGCATTCACATTTCAGGGGTCCCACGTTTGATTGCGCGCGCCAAAGTATTTCTCTGAATTATTTTTCTTTCTTGCGTTTTCATTTATATAGATATGTATACATATACGTAGAGTGACGGCGACGCTGTCACCGCCGGCAAAATGCAACCGAGAATGTCCGTATAATTGCTCTCGCACTAAAATGTGGCCCCGACAGCGTGACTATAGGCTCCATTAAAGGTCATACGACCGCACTCACAGGAGCAAAATAAAGCTAACATTTCTTTTTTCGAGGGTAAACGCTTGTCCTATACTTCGCTCTCTTTTCAGAAGCGCTGGAGAGTCTCTGCAGTTCACACTAGGCTCATTCCGTAGACACAGGTCTGGTACTTTAGCTGAACGAAAGTGAACAATCTTTCTAGCCGGAGTAAAGTCACGTTTCTCAAATGAAGTACATACACCTTCGGCTAGAGTTAACATACACCCTCAAGAAGCTTTACATTGCTGTTTCGAACCGAGTGAATGAAATCCCTTCTGGAGTAGAGTCAATCTCGCTTTTAAGGCTAGTGTCTGAACATAAGAACAACAACAAAGAGGCCGGTCGTTTTTACAGTGTAACATGTAACAGATTTCTTAAAAATGCAGGTGCTTTTGCCTGACCGGGAATGGGGGAAGACACTGAAAGCTATATATATACGCCTCTAGCTGGTTCGAAAATCTTTTGACATTCTATACACGTCAACACAGATTTGAAAAGAAAACAACCACAAATGTAGATATTTAAAACGCTTACTTTACACATTTCGTTCAGGCTGAGTGAGCGAAAGATCACCACACATATGCGTCCGTGTTCCTTTGTTGTGTTACTTTTACACATACATTAAAATGGGTCGATATAGCATTTTGTCTCACTGTAATTCAACAATGTTTAATTGCCAGGGCACAAATACATCGTCAGTGTATTTTTAAGTGTGCTGTTTGGTGGGCCACCCGGCAGCGTGAATTACTGCTTATTAAATTGGCTGTATTAGCTACAGCAACACCAATATTTTAAACAAAAATTAAACAACAACACATGACAAAGTTGAACGATAATGTACGCTTTGAGGCAGTCAGCTGAGGCACCCGCTGCACATACCACAGTTTCCAAGTCCAGAAATTTTGTTGCGTCGCTCCACAAAAATGTACCGTTTCGGATGTACAGTTCACCATGCATCATCGTTGTAGAAGGATAACATGAGGAACTAAAGCAGTTCTGAATCAGCGGCAGACGCAGGTTGAACAATCCGCCGTCGGCTGACCGCTTTTTGGCTTTTCGCGCTCGCTCTGAATACCGCGAACAACATGGTGGCAATGACAATGACGGCGATACCACCAATTAAGACCCACATCCACAGTTGAGCGAGTTCAGGTGAGTTCGGCATGCGCTTCCCGCCGGCCGTCGTCGTGGTTGTACTTTCCGTCGTGGTTGCCGCTTCCGTAGTACTTCCATGGGCTATGGTTGCCTTCATAGTGGCTTCTGTCTTTGTGGTTGCAGCCGTTGTGGTTGCAGCCGTTGTTGTTGCTGCTGTTGTGGTTGCTGCCGTTGTAGTTGCTTCCGTTGTGGTGGCCACCGTGGTAGTAGTGGCCACCGTGGTAGTAGGGGCCACTGTGGTCGTTATAGGAGGTGGCGTGTTCGTCGCTTGCACGACGTTAGAAGTGTTGGACTTGAGCCCGTCGCTGTTGGCCGCGCGAGCTGCCAGGAATATCTTCCAGTCTAAGGCACCGTCAGGTCGAAGTGTGGCCCACTTGGTTGCGAACGCGAAGGTCACTTTGTGTTTGCTGCCGGCTGGGAGAGGGTCGAGATTGCCTTCGACAACGTCAGCCATGGTCATTTCTTCTTGCTTTTCGAACTCCGAGTCCAGCTTGGCGTCGTCCTTGCTGGCTCGAATCTCCACGGCAGAAGCTGTAAAAAGTTCAAGTGTAGCTTAAAGCAAGCAAGGTTCGCAGTCAATACAGCACATCATACTCTTTTGCACCCTCACCGTTTCCGTATGTCAGGTGAGCTCCCGGCCACGTCCACGTGAGCTGCACCTTCAGCGTGTCGTTAGCTCCCAGGCGCACTTGGACCACGGTGAGGTCGTTGATAGCACTTGGAGGCACCTGACTCTGCATGATGTCTTCAGTCACCTGGAAGGAGCCTCCGAACGCCACTCTCAGAAAGGCACCGGCAGGCACAACGCTCATCGACGTCTTGTTTGCCACTTCGGTGGTCGAGTAGTCTTCTTTGAAGTCGTCGATCGAGTACTCGTGATCCGCCTCGGCACCTTGCTCTGGTGTGGCTGGTGATAGGTTTTTGAATTATGTTAGAATGCAGTGTGTGTTACTCATTCCCTTCATGCTGGCCACGTGATGACTGAATGTGGTACTGACCGAACGTCTTTTCATTGGCACTGCACTACGTTACTTACTAGTCTGACCTTCACCCAGTCAGTCTCATGGTATGAATTACCTATCGACTCTAAGGACACAAAACTATTTCGAATACATGTACAAAAGGCGTATGATTATTATTACCACGTGAAAAAATACGTTTGGATGAAAAAATTGCATGATGAAAAACCACGTGATGACTTCATATGTAGTCATCATGACGTCAAAGATCACAATCTGTGACGTCATCATGGTGCTACATGATGTTGTTTAAAGTAGGCCGATCACAGAGGCCGTGCTAGACCAGGTGAAGGGCAGAAAGCCTTCGGGGGGTGGTGGAGCAGGGTCTTCTGAGAAGAAAAGGAAATTGCTTTTGCTGTAGGACCTGTCTTGGGTGAATATATCAGGATCCTCATAAGGTTTTGTTCTGTGTGGACTTATTGAATACATGCATGAGTGTGGCTTACCAGATGGCAGGGGGAGCATAGTGTTGCCGCCGCCAGAGGCAATCTTTGGACCACTCACTCGAGTTTCGTTATCGCCCGAAACGTGAGCCGTGACGGCGTACCTCCCTTTTCCAGTGAACTCGTCAAAGTACCCACTGTAAGTTCCATCGTTGGCCTGGACGTCGGCATCTGTGAAAACATTCAGTGATAGCAGTGGACCGGAATTCACGACTGCGGTGGGTGATATATTCTACTTCTGGAACTGGTCAACTGAACTTTTGTAGAATAATAGGTGCGAATGCGTGTGTTCGTTCACAGGCCTTCCTCGTTACGTGTCTTAGTTGAATTACATAACCTCGATGTCATATAGCTTGTACTGTCATGAAATGAGCTTTTTTTGATGGTATACGAAGGCGTAACGCTAAGTTCGAACGGATATACCTATGAAGCTCGATTTAAAACATTCATCCGCCCATGCACAGAACATCCTCGAGCCCTTTGTTTATCTACAACCACGCCACACATGCTGACCATTTGAGTTGAACCTCGCTTTGCCGTGCATGCGCCGAGGAGCACCCGCTGCGAAGTCGCGCCTATACCGACGGAGGCAGTCTGCACTACCACCGCTCGGAGTTTGCACGGCGTGGCGCCAAGTACGAGCCATGAAATGCCCGCGCTTCTAGCCAGAGTGCATACAGCCAGGTCCGCACATGAGTTTCTGGCACTGCAGTTAGGTTATTCTTGCAAGGTCTGTGATAGGCTGTGGTTAGATTCTACTTCCGTGGACTATACTCTTTCTGCGCCGTGGAAAGACTATAGCATCAGTTAAGGAGACCACTTTAAGCACTCCAAAGTCGACCACCTTCTCAGTTTCTTGAGCTTTGCACGAAGAGTGTAGACTTCCATCTTCTGAAAATTTCATTATCATTAATTTCATGATTATATAATCTATATGAAAAGAAAAAATAATGGTCAAATCCTACTTGTTGAACTTCAGGCTGGTGCAACACTTGAACGTTAGTGTTATGTCTATATTCCAAATCTAAAGAAACAGCAGAAGGAAAAAGAGAAAACATTCCGATGAAGAAATGTGTAAACACGGGTTGTGCGATCTAGCGTTTCAACAAGTGAACTTGACTTCTTGAAGGCTAATGGATTTGTCTTCTTTAAAAACAAGTCTGTTGTGTTCGAGCCGACGTTTCGACACTGCTTAAAGCCTAGTAGCTGACTTGTCTTCTTCGAGGATAGAACGAGTTCTAGCCTTGAAGAAGACAAGTTCACTTGTCGAAACGTCGGCTGGAGAACAAAACCTAAGCTTACGGATGTTTTCGTCATTTATTACAATGTATTAGTGTTACCAAGAGACCCGATAAGTGTAGCGATATGCCGTGGGATCTCGATTTGCTCGAAATCTCGCTCGAGTTGGGGACTGAATGCTTACGTGACCAACTTAAAACACATTTTACGTTGAAGTCTTACTGAGAAATAGAAACACGAATCGCACCGCGACCGTCGTCATGAAGTTGCACCGTAGATTTGTACGGTTCATTGGGGCCGGTGACCTCGGCGAACACAGTTGCGTCGAGGACGGCCTTCCTGCCCTTGTTGACGTCGACGTAGATGATGGCTTCGTCAGGTTTCCCAACTTCCAGGCTGGCCACTCGGCAGGCGACCTGGATCGGCTCGCTGTTTGGATCCTTGCCTTTGGATTTGGCTTGGATGTTGACCTCCACCGGTCCAGGCTCTGGGCTTTCCACTTGAATGGTCCATTCGCCGGGCTAAATTGACCGGTAAATTCATAAACAACTTTCACGATCGGGTTGTTTAAATGCCCGTACTCTAGAGTGCCCATCCAAAAAGGCACCGCCATTCGACTTTCATGAATGGCTGCCATGAACAAAACACTAAATTCTCAGCCCAAAGGCAGATTTACTATAGTTTTCCACCTACTTGTTTTTACCCTTTCTCTGCGCCACAAGTACAGCTCCCCCTAGCTTGACGGCAAACAATTTGCACTGGGAGGAAATAAAAGTAGTGACGAAGACAGAGTGCGTGGAGGAAAGTAGTGCCTTTACGAAGTGTTAGAGTTCGCGAACAGCATTTACGATCTATTTTTATCGTCACCGTCATCAGCCTGGCTACTTTCACTGCAGGGCAAAGGCCTCTCCCATGTTCCGCCAGTCAACTCGGTCCTGTGCTTGTTGGTGCCCCTTTGTACCCGCAGACTTCCTAATCTCATCTTCCCACCTAAATTCCGGTCTCCGCTTCACCCGCCTGCCTCCTCTTGGAATACAGTCCGCGTTCCGTAATTATCAGTGGTTATCTTGCCTTCGTGCTACGTGCCCGGCCCATGACCATTTCTTCTTCTTGATTTCGACTATGATGTCCTTTTTATATTACGATATTTGTATATTATAGGCTCAAACACACATTCACGGTGCTTACACACAGAAGATTATCGTAAGTGTGATTTTCTAGCAAGGACTTCGCACCCGCACGCTTTGCGCATGAAATCATAATAAGGGGGGGGGGGGGTTGTTAAATCCCAAAACAATATCAATATGAAAGACGCTGTGGTGAAGAGCTCCTGAAATTTCGACTAACTGGTGTTCGTTAACGTGTATCGATATCGCACATCGAAATGCGACCGCCGCCTTTGCACACGCAGCTTGATTGATTGATTGATTGATCAATTTATTGATTGATATGTGCTGTTTAACGTACCAAAACTACCATATGATTATGAGAGACGCCGTAGTGGAGGGCTCCGGAGATTTCGACCACCTGGGGTTCTTTAACGTGCACCCAAATCTAAGCACACGGGCCTACAACATTGCCGCCTCTATCGGACATGCAGCCACCGCAGCCGGGATTCGAACCCGCGATTTGTGGGTCAGCAGCCGAGTACCTTAGCCACTAAACCACCCCGGCGAGGCGCTGCACACGCAGCGTCCACACCGTGTACCCTTGCGAAGCTAGTGTACTTAATGGGGAAGTTGCATGACTTATTGTGACACGGCATCCCCATTAGGAGACGCGACTTGCTTTTGCTGTTTTTGTGTGCTCTTGGGAGATACCGACAACACTGAAATAACAGTAAATTAAGCATACTTGTTGCTTTGAATTCTCTTACATCATGTATGGTTCAGATAAAGTGGCCGCAACGGACTGTTGCATTAGTCATGGCAGTACCGTGCTTAATGAAAAGTCCGACGTGGTGGTTCCACCAGAAACTTCAAAATATTTTTTCCTCTTTAGTAATGTTACCAGCAGCTCACCACGGCGTATAACTCGATTGGGTCATTAAATTAAGTTCATGAAGAATTGTAGAATGACTGGTTGTAGAATAATTGCAGAGCTACGTCGTGATTGCAATTAATTGCTTAGAATGCACTGCAGTTTCTTTTAGTCTGCCACTTGCTTTAAGTTCAGCGTCCACAACCTTAGCGTTAAATTACGCCAATCTATTCGATTAGAAAGTGTCGCGAGCGGCGGAGATAAAGATCAACCAGCCGTGTACCTTTTTTGCAGTGCTTAACGAGCAACGTGGCTCAGATGATGCCATTACTGCTTCATTGCGGAAACGACCGTCAGGATGGAGCACATGGTGAAATCTTCCGTGCGTTAAAGGCGGGTCGTATGGGTTTATAGCTGATCGTCATCGGAAGACACAATAAATGTACAAAGAATAGATCGGTAGACTCGCCTATGAGTTTACTCACTGAACTGATACTCAGATCGAGTCGTGAGTTCGAGTTTTCTTGGGTGACACCAACCGTAAACGAACATGCCAACTTGCTCAAGTTTCCAATTTTATGTAGTCCGAGTCTGATTGAGTTTGGATGAGCATACTTCGATGACCTTTAGTACAAGTGGGTCCAGTTAAGAAAATCACTTGTGATTGCTCCGAGTCCGAGTGAGTTTGAGTCCGAATGAGTTCTAAGCGGGAAATTTATTTCCTGTGTGAGTCGCAGTGAGCTCTTCTCATGCAACCATTTGCAGGATGGAGGTGAAGGAACCTACTCCCTTCCTTCCCCCGTTCCTCTTGCCTCTGATGAATTAGTACGTTCATGTATGCGTGAGTAGCGTATGAACGCGAGCTGTCATATGACTGATAGTACTGCTCTAGTGAAGTAGTTGTCAGTAAGATGATGCATTACCTGCGCTGGGCTTGGTATGATGATCTTCCTTGTTTTTTCGTCTCTGTGTTCTGAGCACTGTTCGCATTTTTGGCCACTGGGATCGATAAGAGTCACCGTGATGTCAGCTTGCATGGGCTTCACTAGTTCGACCAAGACGATCGTGTCGTTGCCCAATGAAGGTTCGAGCACCAACTTTTCGTCTAACCTGGTCGTAAAGTTCCTTGCGGTGTCTGTGAGCTGTCGAAAGGCAAATGATTGGAGGCATGCTAAAATATTTCAGGCCATAGGACAGGATATGCTCGGGGCAAAGCACTATAAATAATACTGTACAGAGAACACAATATGGTACCAGTAACGTAGCCAGAATTCCTTTTTGGCAAGATAGGGGAGGGTGTTTAAATCATACATTATGCATGCTCGCGCCTGCGTTTGTAATGTGCTTGGATATCTGCACACGGGGAAAATAAAACTTTTTGGTGAGTGTAAGAAATTAAACCCTCTTGCTTTCACGACTGCGCCACAGTCTTTAATTTATAATAATTAATTGGTACCGAGGGCACAAAAACGCACTCGAAGGCAACAGAGAGCTTGATTTTATGATGTATTAATTGGAAAAAGGAACAGAAGAATGAGGAAAGGCTTGGAAAGGATGTTTGGAAAAGACAAGAACTGGAATTCGACCCAACACTGTAGAAAAGCTTTTAGGGCATTTGGAAAGTTAAAGGTAGAAGGAGAGAGAGAGAGAGAGAGAGAGAGAGAGAGAGAAAGAGGAAAAGTATGCACATGCACAGTTACCCTCTCACAATTTATTAATCCGTATCGCTGTTGTTCTATCACCGCCGATACACGTCTATTGTCTTCAAAAATTTGGGCAATACCTTCGTCGCCTTTATCTGCGATGGGTTTTCAGAACGACATTCCGAAATAGCAGTTGCGTAGCCAAGGAAGAGAAGGGCTCGAGGGTTCAAACCCCTCCGATTTTTTTAAACTGCTTGCGTATATATATATACGTACAAATGTAAACGCACGCACGAGTGTAAATAAAATATGGTTGAGCCCCCAATAAGTAAGTTTCTGGCTACGCCTCTATGAAAAGGTTACTGCCGTCATTAGTTTGTGCTCAAGTCCATGAGAGACCGTGAACGCTTCTTTCTACCCTTGGTAGTAAGGATAGGATCACTTACTGAGCTAAAAGGAGGCCAAATAGCCCAAAACAGGCGTGGACGAAGATTGACAGAAGAGGAATTGGTCAATGAGTTGACGTAAAATAGGTTTAAATTGTTGAAAAATGATTTCAGGTTATTTAGGGGAACTGTGCTGTCGCAGTGAAACATACGTACCGTGACGTAGTCATTGTCTGTGCCGGAATGTGTGGTGGTAGCTTCTACAAAGGCAGCCTGCATGCGGAGAGCCCTATTTCCCTGGACGTCCTGGAATGAGAACGCCTTGCCGCGCGTGACAGTTGCCAACATTTCAAGCTGATCATCAGCCTCAGTTCCCAATGCCATCGTACTGACTTCCACCTTGGCTGCCGTCAACTGTAGTAAGACGTCCTTGAGCCGAGGGTCCCTGTTTTCGATGCCATCGCTTATCAGCACGATGATGCTGCCCTCCGGCGTCTCGTCTTCCGTGGTCAATATCTGCAACAACGTTTTCATTTTGAAGTGAAGCATTATGTGGTTCCTCTACACGAGGTCTCTCGCTATTCCTCGGGAGTTCCGTCTGGACATCTATGTTTTTTATCGCGATAGCAATTATATGGACACTCTCGGCTGGATTGTGCCACCGGCGTCGTCGTCGACATCAATCGCCGCCAGTCACCGTATATGTATACGTATCTATATATATGTAAACGCAAGGAAAAAGATAATCCAGAAAAAGAATCTGGCGTGCGAAATCGAGCTTGGGACATCTGAATCGTGAGTGTGAGGAGCACCTCCTTCAACGTTCAAACGACAAGCTATCTATATGTACTACTTACCGCTGGTGACGGGCATTTCGGGGGGAACAGTCGTGTTTTCAGCATTACTAGCAAGATGGCACAACGAGCGCGCGTCGCCACATCGTCACGACGCGGCGGCGCGCGCTCTCATCTCCCATGCCTACTATGCGCTGTGGAGTGGAGGGGGGCGACGCTCGCGGTGGGGAGGATCGTACGCCTTGCTTGACTTTTGGTTTTCACCTGAACGATGCTGTTGTAGTTATCGGGCGCACAGAGGTCACTGCTATCGTTGCACAGTCTTCGTTAGCAAAAAGAGCGTGCTTTTCAGACACAGCGAAGGAACAACTGAGACACTTATTCGCTTTCATCTGTACCTGTGAGCACGTTTCGTGCGTAATTTGTGCGTGAGAAACGCTGGGAATGTTTTGATCTGCTTGCCATTCTGCGCCTGACCTTCCAATTGGTCTGCCTAGAAAATCCAGGTTTCATGTAGACTACGTAGTGTAATAGTCGAAAGTTCACCTGTTCAGGCAATTGACGATGAAGGGGTTGAGGCACTTTATTTCTTTTTGATCCGCTCATTATATATAAAGAGACAATGAAGGCAACTATTAGGTCGACGTTGATTGTTTAAATGGCGGTCCAGACACCTTGTAGTTTACTTCTGTGTGAAGGAAGTGCCCTTTTTCAAAGAAAATCACGTTTTAGTGGTAAGCATGGGATTAGCGCACTTTAAATTACCCGCCTCAAGAAGCGGAACGTCTCACGTCACTGTTGCCGTGCACAACGTTGCCCGGCTTTACTGCGCGGTGGCCGGCTTTAGTAGCAGCAGAACGAAAGCAGCGGAAGCCACAGTAGCAACAACGGCCAATGATCAATTTCCTACCATTGGCTCCGAGATGGCAGACGTGTTTTCGTTCAATTGGGCCCCGCCGATGGCATGACCTATCCAGTTTAACCATGCGATCTACTCGCGCCATTCCCCACAGTAACGTCTGGCGGTTCTTTTGCCATGAAACAAACAGAAACGAACAAGCAGCATTTTATTACGCCTCTTGATGCTCGGAAGGTTCTTTACTTAGTGCAGCTAGTTACATTACTAGTGAATAACTCTAGGCGGTTCGTCTGACGTCATCGGGATTATCTTGAAAGTTTCCTGATTGATTGATTGATTGATTTGTGGGGTTTAACGTCCCAAAACCACCATATGATTATGAGAGACGCCGTAGTGGAGGGCTACGGAAATTTTGACCACCTGGGGTTCTTTAACGTGCACCCAAATCTGAGCACACGGGCCTCGACATTTCCGCCTCCATCGGAAATGCAGCCGCCGCAGCCGGGATTTGAACCCGCGACCTGCGGGTCAGCAGCCGAGTACCTTAGCCACTAGACCACCGCGGCGGGGCTCTTGAAAGCTTCCTATCGTAGCGCAAGTGTTCACGTGCATTTACCTTAATTTCACTATAAGTAGGGCAGTGCTGTTGATAATATTCTCGTTTTAGGCGTAGTCATACATTGAGATTTCACTCTTATGTAGATTATTATTGGACTTTATTGTCCCTTTAAATTACGTTAACATTAGATAGAGCTGCGGAAACACTTGTTCATTGGTTCAGGCTATGTACTGCTTAAGCAACCACATTAGTACAAACACTTGGCAGAGCCTAAACTCACGAATGGGAATGTAGGTGTGTAAATGATACGTATGCCGCGTCCTTCTAGACTGCTCACATCATGGCACGTCGAGACGTCGTCTTAAGTAAAAAAAAATGGTTCAATAGTGTCTGAATATCAATAAAACATTGTAGCAGTCACTGATCAAGCCAATGAAAGAACAAACGAGAGACGTTTCGAAGTCTTCTATGAAACAGTACAAATTCTGAAATGTCTCGTGTGTTTTCAATTTGACTTGATCAGTGACGGCAACTTTTTTGTAGACCACGGGTCTCAAAAAAGTCTCAAGGTCTCAAAAAATCGCAAAGAAAAAAAAAAAGGTGACGCAATATAATGCGCAGCAATATGCATGGTGTAACTGATTAGAAACGTAGGGCTGAGTCCTTCAGTCTATGCGTTACATACCTCCAGGGCTCGTAGGAGGCCGCAACCAATGCACGTGGACGTGTCCGGCTCCAATTCATTGATACTATCCAGGAAGCCCTGCCGAGTGCCATCGTTCACGGTAGTCAAAGGGTGGCGAACCGTCGCGTTGCTGCTGAACGTGATGATTGCGAGCCGCTTCGAGCCATTTTCGATGTCTTGGGTGTATTGGGTCGCTGCTCTCTTGAGGACCGTCATTCGTTGGAAGTCCTGGGACCCGCAAGTTACACGTGGTTGAGTGCACACGGAACTTAGAAGTAGAGTAACTTACCCTATACAAAAAATACCTTAGAATAACAGAGAACTAAACTATAGATCGTTCGTAAGGTCCCATTCTAGAAGTGTACATTCTAACATGCATAAATATGAAATATAATGTTTTAACAGTTATTGTTCACGTAGACCCGCACTCATGCCAGCTTAATAGGTTCGTCTATCGCATGGGCATGCACAGATAAGTTTTCGTGCATTGTGTTTCACCGCTGTGCGTCTCTTCAGTTGTTAGTCGGTGTTTGTGGTGTCCAGACTTCTTCCTTGAGGCCATATTTGCATACCCTGCCTTTTTTTTTAGAATAAATATACCGCCTCGTTTTCCTAAACACTCAACGAACCGTTCCGCCATGTTATAATTCTCCCATTTTGCCAGCGAGTTGTGCAGCCACGGCTGTTAGAATGCTCTCTTCAACCGCTCTTGAAGCAATGTGGCACATTTCCTGACTTTATAACGCTTTATTATAAAGTGTGTATTTTGATTCAATAATATTGATACAGTACATCAGTCTTTTCCTCCCACAACGATTATCGTTGTCTCTCTCGCGTTCTTTTCTTTGTATTATCGCCACGTGCCCGGCACTTTCATGTCACTAATGCCGTACGTGCTATCAGCGGGGCTCAACACACTTCATAGGAAAGTGTCCAGCACCGACTTTTAAAGAAAGAATGAGCTATAGCAAGGCAGATGACGGTTATTGTTATGGGACAGCAGCCGTTGTGGACAACAGTCGTTGTGGACAACAGCCGTTGTGGCACAACAGTTGGACAGTTGTGAGACAACTTCAAAGGCTGTATACAGAATACGCCGAATAAGGTAGGGTGATCGCTTCCAAAGGAACAAGCATGATTTCGAACAGGCTACTCAACAATCGACCACATTCATACTATCAATCAGGTAATAGAGAAATGCTTAGAATATAACCAACCACTGTACATAGCCTTCATAGATTACGAGAAGGTGTTTGATTCAGCAGAAACATCAGCCGTCATGCAGACACTGCGGAATCAGGGCGTCGATGAAGTATATAGAAACATCCTGGAAGAAATCTACAGGGGATCAATTGCTACCATAGTGCCTCATAAAGAAAACAACAGAATACCAATCAAGAAGGGTGTAAGGCAGGGGGACACAGTCTCCCCAATGCTATTTACCGCGTGCTTACAGGAGGTTTTCAGAAGCCTAGAATGGGAACAGTTAGGAATAAGAGTTAATGGAGAGTACCTTAGTAACCTGCGCTTCGCCGATGACATTGCATTGCTGAGTAACTCAGGGGACGAATTGCAACTCATGATTACGGAGTTAGACAGGGAGACCAGAAAGGTGGGTCTTAAAATGAATCTGCAGAAAACGAAAGTAATGTACAACAACCTCGGAAAAGAGCAGCGCTTCGAGATAGGTAATAGTGCACTTCAAGTTGTAAAAGACTATGTCTACTTAGGGCAGGTAATAACCGCGGAGCCGAACCACGAGATTGAAGTAACTAGAAGGATAAGAATGGGGTGGAGCACATTTGGCAAGCACTCTCAAATCATGACAGGCAGATTGCCAGTATCCCTCGAGAGGAAGGTATATAACAGCTGTATCTTGCCGGTACTTAGCTACGGAGCAGAAACCTGGAGACTTACAAAGAGGGTTCAGCTTAAATTGAGGACGACGCAGCGAGCAATGGAAAGAAAAATGGTAGGTGTAACCTTAAGAGACAAGAAGAGAGCCGAGTGGATTAGGGAACAAACGGGGGTTAAGGATATCATAGTTAAAATCAAGAAGAGAAAATGGACATGGGCCGGGCATGTAGCGCGTAGACAGGATAACCGCTGGTCATTAGGGGAACTAACTAGATTCTCAGAGAAGGCAAGCGAGTTAGGAGAGACAGAGGGTTAGGTGGGTTGAAGAGATTAAGAAGTTTGCGGGTATAAATTGGCAGCAGCAAGCACAGGACCGGGTTAACTGGTGTAACATGGGAGAGGACTTTGTCCTGCAGTGGACGTAGTCAGGCTGCTGCTGATGATGATGATCACTTTAGAAATTGTAAGCATGCGCCCTTCCTTCTCCCATTCCTTCCTCCTCTATCTTTCATCCCCCCCCCCCCAATCCCCTGCGTGGTGCCGTGTCGGTGCCTTCGTATTGAAAGACAGTAACAGCTCCGCGCTTTTTTCTTCACTTTTCCCTCTCATGAAGCTTTACAAATCGCAAGCAGTTTAACACTGGTCCACAGTCTGTGCACTGTGTACTGTGTACATTCTTACATTTCTTACAGTAGATAACCAAACCTACCATTTGTAAATGATACTTGTGTACTGCGCTGGTTTTGTTTCCCCGCATTAAACTTGAGGGATAGCTTGACTGATACTAATTTACAAGCATGTGACTATTCACGTAAATTTAAACATATATATGCAGGGAAGAATGATGTACTTTCATGTCGTATGCTGTACTGTCCGGCATTTCATGCCCTTAATATTTTTTACAACATATTTTGTGTGCTAAGCGAGGAGTAGCCGTCTGCACTATAATGACACCAACCTCTCCTACTTCATCAATTTTAAATAAAAAAAAGCCTCCATGTAACCATCCTTTGGATGATATTTGTGCAGCATTGGACATTGTAATAACTGTGACGCGGCATTAATTAGAGGGTTTTGGAAGATGAATTTCCTATACGGCAGTATAGATGTCCCCGTTTATTTGAGAATGCAATCTATATATGAACTTCACTACGCAATCGCTTGGACTAAAAGGCAGATACAAGCAGTGGCCACGAGATAATCATATCAGGCGACGCGTCAGCACAACGTAAATAGAACAGATAGCTGCGGCAATCTTAGCTGCGGCAGCCATCGATAATAGGGAGTTTTAGAATAGCGTTAGAAGGCATTGTGGGTGTTGTGGGTGTCATATGAGTTTTAGAATAGCGTCTGTTCTGCCCACTCTCCCTCCACGGAAAAATTTATTAACTTCAGCCCCTTACCGTAAACCCAAATGCATGGAGGGTACTCGGCCCCAGCGCTTTGCGGGCCGCACATGCCGCGCTATTTTTGATTTTCTGCGAGCGGACTGCAAGCGAGAACGGCGGCTCGCATTACGACGCATGCGCAGTGGCAGCGACCGCACCGCAAGGGCTTGCAGTGCGCTATTCTAAAGCTTCTTATTGTGTGAGCCAGGTGTTATCTCGTGTAATGCCGCAATAGGTGAAGCCGCAAAGTGCTAACTTGTCGTTCCGAACAGATTGCTCAGTGTAAAAATATATTTTAAATAAAAATATATGTAATTGGTATATATGTTGTAGCTTTCAAGAAAAAAGTAATAAACGATGTGTTTCGACGGTATTTATTGCGGTTTTTTGTTTTCGGGTGAGCAAAAACTGTGCTCTTGCTGTCAGAGGAATGGAGTTGGAATACGTTTTACCTATTTATTATTTATTTATTTATTTATTTATTTATTTATTTATTTATACTTTGAAGGGACACCAAATAGAATTAATTGGATTGACAAACTGCACTCTGAGAGCTGTGATGCCACAAGTTTCACAGCGATTGCTTCATTATTAACGGAGAAATTCAAGGTTGAAATTACAGTTTCAAATTTTGCGCCAAAATCATCAGGCGTGAATTAAGAAATTACCAAATGGATTTTCGCTATTTGTGTGTCCCCGGCTCAACAAAATTTTCTGAAATTTCGTATGCAAAGTCTATGGCACCCACCGGTTGCAATGTACTTCATTTTCATTGGTTGGAGGCTACAAGACGCCTTCGGAATTTCTTGGTACGGGAACGTCAGGGCGGCGCCGCAGTTTCTTTTCACGTGTTTTCTCACATTCTAAGCGTCGTGTCCCTGTAAGGATGGTGTTTTGGAGATAGTGAAGTTGTACTTCATCAATACGCGAAAATCTTTTTGCTCTTTAGTGTCCCGCGAATCATATTGTCACTCGCGTTTCTTGCTTTGTTTAATGTATTCTGATTTCACCCGTTAAAACTACGACGGTGCCGCAATGTTTGGGAAGGTTCGCAATCGTTCTACATCATTGCTTGAAAAATTACGCGCAGGCCGCGAGTATAGTCAAGTTTTCTCAAGCGCTTTTTACCGGAGCGCCAGCGATAACGCTGGAAGGTTTGATGACTGATTTATGGAAGACGACGTGTTTCAATGATGATAAGATCACTCGACAACCGACACTTTTCTGCCTGCTATCAGTTTACACCTTGACTTGCTATTAAACTTACCGTTTCAATTTACGGGTACAAGTTCGCCCCCAACAAATAGTTTAGTTTGTATATATATATATATATATATATATATATATATATATATATATATATATATATATATATATATATATGTATGTATATATATATATGTATGTATAATCATCGCCAGTGCTTTAGCATTTTTCAAGCCGAATATTCGAAAATTGTGCGAAATTGTGCGAATGCTATTCGCCGGAAACTTGCTCGCCTTTGTGTGCTGCATAAAGCGTATCACCATAACCCCATACTTAAATCACGTTGGCTAAACCCTCCTTTTTTCCTATCTGAACGCCTCGACCATCATTACAAGGTTCATATTCCGCGCCAAAACACCCTAACATACTCCCATTCTTTTTTACCGAAAACATGCCATGATTGGAACAACCTGCCTGCGTCACTAGTCACGATTACTAATCAGGAACGCTTTCGGGTGGCACTCGAAAATTTTATGCATTGATGTGCTCAACGCATTTTTTCCCCTGGTTTTGTTTGCTGCTGTTCGGTTACCGTTCATTTGTGTATCGCAGATTCGTTGTGCCATGTTGTAATTTTTTTTCGGTACTTTCTTTGTGTGTTAGATCGTCATTACGGTATTTTTTTTTTGTCGCGGTGCTTCTTTGTTTGATTTTTTGATTTCTTGTTTGATTTGTCGCGGTGCTTCCTTTTTTTTTTAGATATTGTGTAAGCGTTGTCATTTACACGTTGTTCTCGAGTGTTGTACGCATGTACTGAATGTGATTTGTTTTTCACGTTTCAATTGTATTTTTTGTCTTCTAAACCCACTCCCCTCTATAATGCTGTATGCCCTGAGGGTACAATAAATAAATAAACAAATAAATAAATAAATAAATAAATAAAGAACTGGGACAGATTTATCGCTATGCTGGCAGGAATACATGACGAATGACGATAGACGAAAGGCAACGGCAGAAAAACTCGCAAAAACTTTTCGAAATCACCTAAACGTGCTGTATGTTGACGCTTCTCGACAGGAGAGAGACGCTTACATTATATGCGAGGTGACCGGCAATGGGGAACCTATTACTGTGACCACCGTATAAACGACCTCAGAATTAGAGGCAGGGGAAGCTGCCGTCGCGCTGGCCGCCACGATTCGGACTACTAGTCACATCTTGAGTGGTTCTAAAAGGGCGCTCGCGAACTACGTAATGGGCTGGTTTAGGCCGATCGTGACCGACATCATCGGAAATAACAATTAAGCAAAAAATTGTTGACCATCTCCCCGAAGAGAACCCTGTTGGGAGGTGAAGCAGCCACTGTGTGCACGGCGTTGACGTGGTTTAAGCAAGCGTCGACGTGGGTGCTGGAAGAACGGTTTGAAGCGAAACTCGGTGTAGTGTTTACTCAAGTAAATGTTTGCTTCAAATGCAAAAAAAAAAAAACGGAGGCGGGTTGGGTTTTTGTAAGTTTCATCGCAGATAAACGAGCTGGAAGCATGCGGTCGATCGTTGCAGGGTGTGGAGAGGGTGAAGTGAGATAGAACTGTGTTGCGAGCGGGTGGAGGAGCCGCAGTTGAGGGCGCTGCGGCGCGCGTGCTGCGGGTGAGGGAGGGACTGACGTCAGAGCACACCTGCGAGGGAAGCGTGCGAGGAGAGCGTGACGTCAACGCGCAGCTGCGGCGTGACCTTCTTGTCAACGCCCAACACCTGCGGTGAGCGGAACGCGTTGTGGCGTGTTCGTATGGACGCACGTACGACGGCGTTACACTCGTAAGTCAAAGAGCTGCTTCGCATCTAGTAAGATACGTCTTGTATGGGTGCCCGCTCACGTGGGGAATTCAGGGAATGAGGTGGCCCACTGTGCAGCCCGAGGATAGGTGAACCCTTCCACCTATGCATGATCTTCCCGCAGGAAGGCATCACCACGTATAACGAAATTAGAGCTGATTATAGAGAGAACTGCAAAATATATGGCCCTGCATACTGACCTCTATAAGAGTGGGATTAACTGGGCCGAAATGGCTGGGGCATGTTTTTGCCCACCGCCCTTTGAACCACTGGCAAGATGAATTCAATGACCTTGTTGTGCCGTTAATAAGGTTATTTATCTACCAAACGTCCATTATGACAACTCCAATCAGCGAAGCAACTTCAGCGAAGCACTTCCTGTCTGTACACAAGTTACATTTAGTCTACGTTTGACGTTCGATCAGAGGTTATAGCTAGGGAATGCCTCTCTGACTTTGTTGAGAAATGTTTTTGATGATGACGTCATTCTGGCCAGGTCCAGAAGCTATACGTCATACTCAGTTACAGAAATTACGTCATGAGAAAGACGAATATGCGACTGTGCTTCACATGTGCATATTTAGAAATTTTCCTCCATTTCTTGAAATGCAGAGTGCGAACTTGTATGCCTGTAGCCCGAGGTTTAAACTTATTGTGTTTTAACGCTAAATAAAGCTGAAACTTCTGTTACATCATAGTATTCTATTTAAGTATCGCGTTATGATTAATTGCAAGAAGGGGCAACCTACTTTTTTTATTTAGCCTAGCACGAACGTAAAGTTTCTCAAAAGAGCCTCGGCTGTGTCAGAAGATGCAGTACATTCGTGTCACTTTAGCCGTCATTACTACTGCGTTCCACCAATACGATTATTTGAAAGCATCAGTCGCTTACGTCCATGCTGGCGGAAACGTCGAGAACCAAGACGATCCGTTGGGGCAGATCCTCCCTCTGCTGCGTCTCATCGAACGAAACCTCGATACGCTTGGAGATGTCGGGTCTTGGCAGGCTGCAAGCATGGCGAGACGGTAATGGAACAATACGCGTGTTAGTTAATAGTGATCTGTTTTTATTATTAAGTATAAAGCGTTAGATGCCTCACAAAACTATGAACAAGCGCCCAAAGAGGAGATCCTCGGATCGTGGCTCTATGCGTTGCAGGCTAACAAAGCGACGCGAGTTCCAGGGACCACTTGTAGCCGTGCAATGGACAGGCGCCCGTACCCCAGCGGAGCTTTCTTCTTCTTTGTTTCTTTCTTTTAATTCCTCGTCCCTTCCCCCAGTGCAGGGTAGCAAACCGTCTTATTGATTTCCCATAGCCTTTCCTTTTCTTTCCACTACGACGTATGAAAAAAAAAAAACTCCATGGCGTCACTATACGACTTCATTGTGACGTCAGCTATTTACAACATTTGTGACGTCATAATGAAGTAACTTGATGACATCATCGTAGCGTCATCGCTTGGCCAATAGTAGAAAACGGTGAAAAATTAGGTGGGATCCAGAGAGCCTGCAATGCTTCTAGGAGAGGTGGCATTACAAAGCTAGGTTACGTACAGAAATATTTCTGATGGCGTGAAAAGAGGTGCGGGGGGGATCAATACAGTTCGCTGAGATGAAAAACATCTTAGTCGAATACGTAAGGGAGCCACTGAATTTATTTCGCCGTACTTATCTTGATTCATTATTAAAAAAAGTATAGGGGCTGCTGGAGGACATGTAACCGTATATGCCTAAAATTAAACGGTAGAGGACTTCAGAATCTATCATTCATTGAATCAACCGTGAGTGCTCTTTACACGGCGCTTATCTCGACTTGTAAGCCGCTTACTTTTTTGCTATGCTATTCTAAGTTTGCTTGAAATTGATGTTCAGCAATGTTGTTACTTTTTTTTTGCGTTGGAATAGATTCTCGTTGAGTGGATTGCTTTGTCATCAGCTTACATCAGCTCTGCTGGAGTGTACTAATTTTTCTACGTGCATTTTACACATCAATGGGGATCTTATCGAAGTTTGTATATCTAGCTTACGCATGCGTCATTAGAAAATACAAAGCTGCTCAAATGTAATGTTCCTAAATGAATGCACAATGGCGAATTTTTTTGTACTGTTAATACAAATATTTTGTAATAATTATGCTGGACACCAGATAACTAATGCCATAGTATCGAGAAAAAGACAGCACTTGCGGTATTGATATTATATTGCGCACAATGAAGTGCCTATAAGAAATATTTTCAATAAAAAAAAGAACTTCAGTGGAAAGCACAACGCATGCCTTATGTGCTTCTCTTTCGTTGTGTACTCGTCACTGGTGCGGCCCTACCACGATTATGAACCTTAAAGAACCTGCTGCCTTTCCGTAATGCTGAAATATTTTGCCTGTAATATCACCGAATTCTCGGTGCATAACCGAGACTTAGCCTGTCTAAAGTGCGTACGTATATACAGCCTCATTCCCGCCTGGTGTCTCGATCTCAACACGGCGTTGCGCAAAAAAACAAACAAACGATGACATCAAAGAAGGGATACAAAACATCCCAAATGAAGGGATGAAAAGTCGTGGTCATCAGAGTGACACCTTGCGGCAGTTGCGGGCTCTGGTGTGGTGTGCCGTGGAGCATGTGCGGCTTAACAGACATGCTGACCTGCTTTGCACGAGTGGCAACGTTGAACGTTGTGATTTACCCCACAGCGGTGGTATACAGTGGCTAACAACGTTACTAGAACCTGGTTCAAGTAACGTTGGTGGCTAAGGTACTCGGCTGCTGATCCGCGGGTTGCGGGATCGAATCCCGGCTGCGGCGGCTGCATTTTCGATGGAGGCGAAAATGCTATCGGCCCGTGTGCTCACGTTTGGACGCACGTTAAAGAACCCCAGGTGGTCTACACTTTCGGAGCCCTCCACTACGGCGTCTCCCATATTCATGTCGCGGTTTTGTGACGTTAAACCCCACATATCAATCAATCAATGAAAGTTGCGCTTGTTTAAATGAATCGCGGCGTTCAATCGAGTCTGTGGCTGCCGCATTTTCGATGGCGGCGAAAATGCTTTAGGACCGTGAGCCCGTGTTTTTTAGATTTAGGGGATCGTTAAAGAACTCCAGGGGAACGAAATTTCCAGAGCTTTCTAGTATGGCGTCTCATAATTGCACGAGGGTTCTGTGAGGTCAAACTTCAGTTATATATAAAAATATTGTTTAACCGAAGATGCATGCTCCTTCGGGGTGATTTCAAAATCTAGATTCACAAAAAAAAGAAAAAAAGACGAGTTTGGGGGGATAACACGCACCTTTTCGCCATCTCGCGAGTCATCGCTATAGTTGCGTGTTATCGTGTACGTTCTTGTTATTACGCGACTGATAACACACCACTGAAGCAAGTGCGCCTTTCAACTTTGTCATTCGTACAATTTTTGTCAGCATGTCTGTTATGCTGTGCATGTTCCTGGGCACACCACGTGAGAGCCCAGAACTGATGCAAGGTGTCGCCCCGCAGAGCAATGCCGGCTGCTCGCGCGTTCTATGCCCTGACGGAGACGCGGCAATATAGTTGCACGTACGGTGCCTAATCGTACTCTTCCGCACCGCTGGAGTCAATGCCTTGGCATGGGACCGTTGCAGTTGTGCAACGTGGGGCCACTGAAGGAATACGCGAGCTTAAACAATAAGTTAGGCTCAGGGATGAAAGAGAAGGGTCCATACTTCTTGAAGTCCTCGTTCTCGCTGATCACTTCCCACGTGGATTTCCCCTTGCACATCGCATTATGCTTGTTGGGAGCGAAACGGTTGTGCTGGCGCGATCCTTTGCCGGAGTCGCAGAATTGGCTCACCTGCAATGTAGGTCGTGGTTTTAGAACGTGAGTGTACTTCATGCGTGGAAATCCCGTACCTGTCTCAGGCAACATCCTCGTTTGCGGCACAGGCTTGTAATCGTGTGCACAACCGGTCACTGTTACGTTTTGGAAGTGTCTATAGTTTCGGTCGGCGCTTATGGCCAGAAGCCAGCTGCCTTACGACGACCGAACATTCGACAACCATACAATAGAGTGTTTTAGTCTGTCCAATATTCCGTTGTACGCAACGTGCTTTGCGCGTACCAGAATACGGGGTGTGAAGTGCGCGTGCGCGAGCCCATAAAACATGGCCGCACCCCGGAAAGAGGTTGCCGGCCACTTCGTAGTTAGGCCTTTCATTCACTGTTTAATTTCAAATTTAGCTTTCTTGAAGATTCACTAGGATACGATGAGTAAAAGCATACACGCGTGGCAGAAGTTGCCACTCCCGAAGTCGTCCACTAGCAACGGTAACCGTTTTTTTTTGAATACTTGGAGTTTTCACGTACCTAAACCACGATGTGATTTAATCATGCCGTAGTGGGCGGCTTGGGAAATTTCGACCGCCTGCTGTTCTTTAGCGAGTGCCGCCTCCGGGATCGGACCTGGGACCTTCGGGTCACCAGCCGAGCACAGTAACCACTGTGGCACCGAGGCGGGCCGTGTTTGCTTCGACGCCGCAGTGTTTGCGGCTAAGGTTCTGGGATGCTGACCTGAAGGTCGCGGGTTCGATGCCGGCCGCGACGGTCGCATTTTGATGGAGGCGAAATGGTGGAGGACCCTGTATGTCAGTGCGCGTTAAAGAACACCGGATGATCAAAATTTATGGAGCCCCTCACTACGGCGTGTCCCATAATCATATGGTGGTTTTGGGACGTAAAACACCAGATAATATTATGAATCTTAACCGAAGTGGGACACTCGCAACGATGCCAACCACTAAGCGTACACATATTTTTTTTTTTTCCTGCAGAGACCTCTAAAGAAGTGACCGTATGCCAGTGGGACGGGTGCTTCTATATTAATCGCTTCCGCAACGAAATGCGGTGTCCTTTACGAAATGAAACATGACCGCCATTAAGCTCTTGCGCATGCGCAGTTATTGCGGTTTGCGGAGCGTTCTTTGTTCGTTCGTAGAAGAGCCAACGAGCGTGCGCCGAAAAACCTGGCGTACTCACGTTTGCGACGTACGGCATGAACATGATAGACGATTCCACCGGATCCTTCACCGATGTGTAGACGTGAATAACGCAGTCCTTAGGAAATCTGCACGAGGTTTTATTGAGCTTCGTGCATATCTCCCCAGAGGCCATTTTTGGGATGAAGCGAAACTTTGTCGAGCACGCATTCAGTTTGACCTGAGAGACCACAAGAAAAAAAAAAAAGCTTCATGCATCGTGATTTTTGAGGAAGCTTACGTTCACGAACTGAACACTTAGTCAATGTTCAGTTTTATTTACAACGTGCACAAAGTACAATGTTGAAGTTTAAAGTGGCAAAAAAATTTTATGCTTACCACTTGACGACGCCAGGGTGCCACAGTCAGGCAACGAAACTAGTGCGCACATTCACAGTACCAAAAAAAAGCCTTCTTTTGTGAAAAATTACATTAATGCAGCACCTGGTTCGCTAGGCACAAATACGCTGAAGTACATGTATGCGTACCGTACGTTAAAACATGGGTAAATAACATAACCGCAAAAGGTGAAAAAACTGTGAACACAAACTTTTGGCTCTTCAACCGCCCATGTTCCCTTGAACTTCTGTAGCTTTTTACAGGTAAATATATAAGCATACTGTTACACTGTTCAAGTGAAGACTAATATAAACAGCAATCAAAGGCATAGAGTAAATAACATAAATCCCTAACTTACTAGAAGTGATCCTACTTGTGACGAATACGTTTAAACAGGCACTGACAGAAGCTGTATTTCGAAGATTCGAGACAGAAATTTAAATTTACCTAAGGACGAAAATACCGCGCTGTTCGCGCTTGTGAGAGTTCAGTACTTCTATTCGTGCACTTTAACTTTTAAAACATTTAAAAATGAACAAAATGGTTCATGGGCAGTTAGAACACTATTGCGTATTTGCGTCTTCTGCGTCATTGCGTATTGTAATGCTTAATAAGTAAACTTGAAAGAGTACAAAATTTAGCTTTGCGCTCCACTTATTCTGTTTATTCGCGTCACTTGAGTGTCACTTTACGTAATAGGGCAAACCTTCAAACACTCGAGCAGCGTAGGGTCATATCTAGATTAAAATTCGTCTATCAGCGTTACTATGGTCACTTCGATATGTCGCGGAAACACTACATCCAAGAGCCTTTCAAACGATAATGGAGAATTCATCACGGTAAGACTATTAGGTAACCGATTAGTCACATTGATTTGCATAAGTTTTCTTTGTTTCCTCGAGAATTTCTTATTGGAATATGTTACCTGAAGAAACAGTCAACTCTGTGTCATTAGAGGTGTGTTCTCAGCGTATTTGTAATATAAGCTTTGGTTAAAGAGTCGTTTCAAAAATGGAAGACATTATCATTGTGTCCTTTTGCCGTATGCATACCGTATCGCATGCTTACACGTGATCGTGGAAGCATATTTACGCCTCCCCTCATGTGTGTTGTACGTTTTAAAATTACGTCAAGCAACACTGATGCATTGTCAAGTTGTATGTCGTATTTCTGTCAATGTATTTCTCTGCTTTCACTCTTGCATGGGCCCGAGAAGGGCCTGCAGTATCTGTAAATAAATAAAAAAAACACGATAAATGCAATGTAATTCAACACAGTAAAAAAAAAACAATGCGCACGTTTGCAGGAGTAGTGTTCAAACAGGCCTTGACACATGTCTGTCCCTTAGCAATATGGCGCTCTGAATCACGTGCTCACCTTTCCGTCTTCGCAGTAGGTGCGTGGGTACTTTTCGTCATCCAGCCAGCCATGTTCGTCAAAGACTCCGTACCGGTAATGGGCCCACTCATGCACGAACACGTATGCTGCAAGTGTGCACGATAAGGTGAGGAGGAAGCCATCCTTCCGAGCATCAGGCCGAAGCCTTTAGGTGCGGTCTTTTCTGGATCATGCAGCTCGCTAAAGTCCACAAAGGGACGCTAAAGGGAAGAAATATATCTACGTTGATTGCTGACACAGCGTTGCATGAAGCTCGTATAGCTTGTTTCAGGCTCAGCGAATGCGGAGTTTAAAAGAAAAATCGTGCTTTTAGTTTTCCGTGCACCGTTAGCACAATTGAAACCACCCGCGTATCAGAATGGCCTTGTGACGTAGTTGTGCCAATTTTTTTACTCGATTTACTGCCTGTTGCTCCGTGTGTTGGCGCAATGAGCAAGGAGTTCTAGCGAAGCACAAGCCCGGTGAAAAACGGGAACTGCGATGTTTCCAAGGGTATTGTCAAGGAGCTGCTTTTTGTGCGAAACAGGCTGAAGTACACGATTTGTATATCGTTGCGTATTGTAATACACTGAAATGTTCTTTCCTGTCATGGTCGATTCGAGTACTTTCGATAATTGTACTCAGGCCCATATAACGTAAGGTACATAGGGCTTGTGTCTGAAAATGTCCCCTTCTCGTTGCGCAAATTGTCTCATTTACCTTAATTTTTCAATTGCTAAAGCGCTGTTCGCCGTTGAGTCGTTATCGAACATTGACCTTTCAAGCTGACACTAATTATTTGCCTCCAGTATCCCGTCTAAAATATGTCATTGAGCAAGTACTAACCAGACCAATTAACAGTCTTGATATCCCTTTAATCTTCTGGCAGTACCACGTCAAGCACAAATCACAAGGACACTCGGCGAGAAGGAGAGAGAGAGAGAGACAAAAAGGCAAATGAAAAAAAAAAAACGTATTCATCATTAGGTCGAAGCAAGGAATGCAATGCCAACAAAAATGTATGCTACACGAAGCGAGGCTGACAGTTATTCTGCATCCGAACTCTTTTGGATCCGACCTCGCGTAACTCCACGAAACGCTGGTGTAAGAAAGAGTACACGACCGCTTCAGGGAGAGCTTTGGTTTTCGCACAGTCTCTTCCGCGTAAGGGGGCTTCCTTTGAAGACTCGATGAGTTTGCGCAATGAGTTTACCTGGGTTTCGGAACGTCCTCGCTGTAGACGCGTTGAGCTCGGCTACGAACGTTGGCGTCAGCTTAATGTAGTCCCCGCGCTCCCCGCAGAGTCTCGACTGTTTCGTGAAAGGCCGTTCCTCCGCGGTTGAACCGGAGAGGTCGACTCGTACGTCGCTCTTGTCGAACCAGCTGGAAGACACGCTGCGGGCGCTGCTTCTCTTGGGCCACGTGTTCGGGAAGTTGATCATCACGTGCTTGAAATAGACACGGCCGTTGGTGGCACGGTGCAGGAAATCGGACGAAGACCTGAGGAGGCTCTGCAAGGGGTGATGAGTGTGTCCAATAATTCCTCACTGCGGCCTAAAGGGTGTTTATCCGTGTTAAAGAAAGAAGAGCAGAAAGTGCGTCAAAGAGCGTGCAGAGCCATTATTTCGTCCATTTTAAATAACAGTTGCAATTGAAAACTTCCTAATGACATACCTTTTTCTGTAGAAGGGCTGAAAGCTGGGCCAGTTGGTGACAATACTTAAACATAATTTAACACAGCGCACGACTACGCGTGGACAACAGAAGCGCTGTGCTTGGTCCCTTCTTCTCTTCTGTCCGCATAGTCGTGCGCTATGTTAAAATATGTGCAAATGCATTCATCTGAACGTAAAAAGAGGAATTCCTTGATGGTCCGTTTCTTCTGTCAGGCACAGCCGACGAAACCAACAGACAGTGAATCGAAGGAAACTATAGGGACATCACTTGTTGGCTTTAACTGCAGCAAGATCGACCACTGGTATAGATGCTATGGTTCCATATTGTTAAAGTAGTGCCAATAACAAGGCAATCGATACAGCGAAGCGTTCGTTGCGCAACACGTGTTCTAGCGTGGCGCTTACTGACCGCGTATCTGTTTATAACGTTGGAACCCGGAATATATATCTCCGGCGTAGTGCTAAATGTCCATCGATATTTGGATTATGTGACATGCCTTGATGTTTTCCACGATGGTCTCGTTGTAAGGCACATCCTTGTGGATCGATATCAGCAAGTCCTTGTAGCCTCCGTCGCTCTTGTCTACCGTTAGGCTTTTCACGCAGCTCAATAGGCACAGCAGGGCGGCCGCTACAGCCAGTCGCGAAGCCATGCTCACGTCCACACCCTGTGTAACAGAGGAAACGACAAAACAAATAATCACCCAAAGGTAATGATGTGTTATTGTCAATCAACGAAAAATCTGTTTCATCGCAAGGCCGAAGAAATTATTGCGATTGCAACACTGTGATGCTATATGAAGCAAGGCTGGCAGTTATAACTCTTTCAGATGCGATCTCGTGTAACCCTACTCAGAACGCTGGAGTTAGAGAATACGGCCACTCTAGGGAAAGTTGCTGTTTTTGCAGAGTCTCTTCACGTATACAGAGCACAGCGGACTCTGGCACAGGAATCAGAAAGGTATACGGGTGGGGAGGTGAAATTTTCGGAAATTTTGAGCAATTGGAAGAAACATATAGTACAGTTATTTCGAAATTTTGAGGAAAAAATGGAAAACAAGTTTTCTTTTGCATGTGGCAACAATTTATTGCCAAATGTCAAAGGCAATATTACTTTCATTGTGTAAATAACAGGAATGGAATGCTTTCTCCGTTTTTACAAATGGATACAGCATTTAACGGATCGAAGGCAGGCCAGAGGCATCACCGCAAACTCATTCAGTTCTCTCTGAATGTGTGCAGCTTTCTGGAATTGTTACGGCAGTTAAAGAAAAGAACTCATATTTGACTATATCGTTGTGACTTCGACTATGGAAACACTGATCAAGATCGTAAAAAGAAGTTCTACCTCTTATTCACAGTCAGTAGCACTGGCTTCATCCGTAGCTTTTTTCTTCATGTTGAGATGCCGCATTCGGAAAAGCGTAGCTGCTGTTGCAGTGCTTACAGCCGCGGGTCCCCGTTTCCCGCCAATGGTCTTTCCGACCATGAAGTGCATGCACCAATCGGATTTTGATCGTATACAGATGCAGATTCTCCTTGAACACGGCTTTACATGCGTAATTCCGCCCCGGGTGGCAGAAGTGTACAAGAGATAGTGAAAACCGAACGATGACGGACGCCGAAACCTCAGAAACCACCCCCACCGCAACTGCACACGAACGACGAAGCAGTGATCACGCTGAGCTGACTTTACGCGATGTTGATAGCGAGTGGCCAGTCGTCGTTCGGCATCAGGGGTGTCGTTCCGGTTTCACGTTCTGGGGAAGTGATTTTAAAAAAGAAAAGAAGAGAAAAGTGAGCCCCGTAACTGTCTCTCAGGGGGAGGACATCTCAACAGTAGCTCACGAGGGATGGGGGTAGAGAAGGGAATAAAAGGATAGGATTAAAACGTAGAGAGACAGAGAGCGAGGAAGGAGAGAGCGGGGCAGAGGGACAGGGAGCGACACAAGTAAGGAGAAGACAGGACAGAAGGACACGGTCGCAGAAGTTCGAGGACGGGGCATCACTGGCGAGAGCTCGTGTCGGCGACAGGAGATGGCGGAGGGCTAATCCAGTCGGCCAGAGCTACGCTGTCGTCGGAGATCGCGAGGGCACAACCGGTCGGCACGGAATCCAGCGAGCGAGTTCTACGTTTTAGCTTCACGTTCAGAGCTAGGTCTTGCCCAAGCTTTATTAAAGCGCGTCAAAGAGCTCGTTTCGCAGAAATTCTGGTGTAGGCGCCGGCGGTTGTGATCGAAAATTCATTACCTTATGCGTGACAAAAAAAAAACAAGAATGACGCAAATAATGTAAAAAAATGTAAAAAAAAATCCTGGAGCAGATCGGGAACGGAACCGGGGTTGTTTTGGTTTTAGGGGGAATCGAACCCGGGTCGTTTGCGCGGCTCGCGGATGTTCTACTACACCGCCAAGTCTCTGCTTTTTTTCTTCAACGAATGAAATTATCACCAGTAAATTACACACAACATACTTCATCAGAAGTCAGGCGAACACACACAAGCGTCAAGAACGGGAAGCCACTCCGGAACGGGGTCAAAAGTATCGACAACACTGCGCACTTGAGCAGCTGCTTCTCGGAAGACAGATCTCGTCGAGCGTGGTGGCTCGGCGTGTCTATCGATCATGCGACTTTTCCATAATGAATAAAGTCCCAACAACATAAACAGGTCGTAAGGAGTATTATCTGTCAGACTCTTTTTGAACGGAAGGAACCTAATACCATAAGCTGTGATTGGAAGTTCTTTTCTTAACGTTCTTTTTAGAATGTCCCAAAAATAAAAAGCGTCACGACAATGAATAAAACAATGCTCTATAGTCTCAAGTTGGTTGCAGAGTCTACAATTCACTGTCCAGGGTACGTATATTGATTTTTCATTGAGCCACGTTTTCCCTGGCAGCATGGAAGTGGGCAGTTTAAAGAAAAATGTTTTCGCTGAAGGAGATATACTCTGCTTGCGAAAACAGTGGAAAGAACTTCATCTCCCCGGAAATGCAGCGAAAGTAGGTTTCATGCTTTACAAACGCACTCATTCTGTATAAATTCTTCACAGTGCAACATGAAATATGGCAGTATTAATGCGCGATACAAGCGCCAATTGCCAGTGGGCGTCAGAACATGTTACTAGCATAATGACTTTGTGGTTTAAAGCCGGTGACCCGCTACAACAGGCACACACGCTACTGCGCCTATTCTTTTAAGACCACGTAGTGGGTGCATACAGCAAGCTCGAAAAGGTTTCATGCACAAGGTGTTCGAAGTATATATGCACTAGAAACACGACAATACTATCGCGTTCGCCTCCTAAAAGTGAAGCTTTAGGGTCTCCTTATGTTTGATTTGGACTTTGTATGGAACATGATGGTGACTGCAACAACGTGTCGAAGGTGTCCATATAGTTGCTACTGCCAGAAAATCTAAATGTTGAACTATAGTGCAACGTTTTGCAAGCTTCATGATGAAGTCATGCATGGAGAACTCGGTTTGATGTAGGTGTTCATACTGCATGATTTTGCCTGGCGCTGTTGTGTGTTCGAAAAAATAGTTGTAATTTTAATGCAGTGTTGGCTGGATTGGTGTAGCGTTTTGTATTTCCTCAATTAAATGTCAGGCATTTAGAGAAGTACAACGCGTATCCACGCAAGAACATATAGCTCATTTGCGAATCAAAAGATCACTAGTATTGCTCTGAGTTGTTTCGTAAAGGACGATAGTTTTGATAGCCTAAAGGATGATAGTTTTGATGGCCCCGCCACGGTGGTCTAGTGGCTAAGGTACTCGGCTGCTGAGCTGTAGATCGTGGGATTGAATCCCAGCTGCGGCGAAAATGCTGCCGGCCCGTGTGCTCAGATTTGGGTGCACGTTAAAGAACCACAGGGGGTCGAAATTTCTGGTGCCCTCCACTACGGCGTCTCTCATAATCATATGGTGGTATTGGGACGCGAAACCCTACACATCAATCAATCAACGATAGCTTCGATATGTTCAAAAGCAGTGCTTAGACAGGCGTAAGTGAAAATAAAGATTGCAGTGATCTCATTATTATTTCCTGAAAACAGGTTTACTATTTTGTACGGGTATTTGTTTATGTTTGCTACATAGGATAGAATACAGGAAAATTGATGATGACGTACCTCCCAAGATTCAACTGTAGATAGGCCCGGACGATCAGCGCAGTATTTTTCAGCTGTGAACTGAAGGTGCGTGTGAAACATGGACCCGTTTTTCGTACCTTTTATGTGATAGATAGGTGCACTGATAAGATTTCATAATTATTCAAGGATACAATCACCGTATCGCGCGTAGTTTGGATCTACAGGTAGGTATTAAATTTTATTAGCACATAGTCAGCAAAACAGTGGCATGCAGGTTTGGCATATAAAAAAAAAAACAAAGCGGAACGAAGCCAGAGATAACGTGAACGGAACTAGAAACATGACAAATTATTACGTCAGTTCGTGTATGTGTAACTGTCCTGCGTGAAATAATACCCTTGTTGATTCAGCTTTCGGAATATCGCTAATCTTGCACTGGTTGGTCGTGAAAAATGCGATGGCGAATTGCTCATTCCCATTGCTCCGGTCACCTCTATTTTTCTCTCAAGTCATTGGCCGCAGTTTTATGAACGCTCACGTCATAAATGAGTTATTTAGCAACATCAACAATGATTCGCTGAAATGTTAGAGTATAAGAGACCAGTTTTTCCTTTTTGAATTTTTTTTCGGATAGTATTTGGAATATTATCGGCAGCGCTTTTTTAGCCATTATTTTGGTGGCGACCACATATACTCATAGACAGAATGCGCAGTCTTGCGGCTTGCCAAATCGGCTGGGGCTTTTTACACTCGGTAATTGCTTGTGAAAAAAAAAACGAATGTTTAAAAAGACCAGTTCTGAGGGTGTATGGGGTATACTTTATGTCTGTGATCATGTGGAAAGGACTGGTAATTGGAGGATTTGAAATATTCTAAAGCATTAATCCTTGTTTTCTTGTGAGACTGAGTGAAGATTGAACGAGAATAATTTATTTGTTTGTCTCAGTGCGATATTTTTTTTTGTCTGAAATGACATATTTCAAAACATGTGTGGCTGGTCGGTCATGCTCCCATTGTTGCGTAGCAAGAGATTATTTGCAGTTAGAGCATCACAGCCACATGGAGGGGTTACAGTTTGCACGCTGGAGTGCATTTGGCACATTCAGAAAAGAATGGGCCCCGAACTGCGAAAACGAAAAAAAAAAGCAGTGACGTCAAGCGTTCTGTCGGGAAATCAATATTTGGCCGGGGATGTCTTAGTGGTGTCATCATTGGCAATCACCAAAACTATTATCGTTTCACCAATGAAAATATAGCCAGCTTAGAAGACACTGTTAGAGCTGTCTGAGCCACATAATTTCAGCACAGCATCGAAGGATACCGATACATCCCTCGACCTTTGCTCAAAGAACTCCGACGCTTCGTGTAAATTCAATCAAGTCCAGTTGAATGACGAACCATTCGTTCCTAAAGAACGCCTTCAAGCATCTCTTGTTGAGGATATTAGGTCAAATTATCCGAAGCAAGCTCATCCACAATTTCTTGCTAAATGCCTCTTTGGGAAAACTGAAAACCCTCTAAAGAGTCTTTGAATTTCTGTGGGGGAGCGCGGTGCAAAAAAAAAAAAAAAAACGTTTGTCTAGGGCACCAAACACTGAAAATATGCACTAAATTGTTCCGCTCACTTTTAATGATGACAATATAGCCTTTGATAATGTGCTCAACTCCTTCGGAATTTCGTCAGGGCACTTCACAGTGCTCTGACGAAATTCCGTCAGGGCACTGTGACATGGGCACATCATATTGAGCCGTCCCTACAGGACCTGCTCAGCATTAACCTGCGCCGACACTACTTTGCCGACAGTGCTGCGCAGCTGGTGACAATGGAGGCTCGCCAGGCAAGACGTTTCAACACGAATTGAAACAAACAAACAAAAAAGATAGGGGTGATGGGTATCTGGCTGGCGTCTATTAATCGGGTCCATCAATTCGTTGCTATATTGTTGTACTTTTGCAATAGTGCACACTTTCAACTTTAAATGCGATTATTTAAAACATAAAATTTTTGTACTTTTGCTCCTATTTCTCAGCAACCATTATATCTAGAAACGGAGATTTCGGCCAGTATTTAGAAAACGTAATAGGGAATATGCTGAAGCAGAAACACCGTTGGGGGAGGAAATGCTGTTCTTGAATGTGAAGTATTATAGGTATTACCGATTTATAATTACGAAAACATTAGCAAACCTGAAGCAAAACATTTACAAAAAATGAGCGTTACAATTATCAGTGCTAAACCTGCTTCAGTAAGAAAAAGAATGGCTTATAATCCCACTGATAGTAAATTAATTACTGTAATTCTTATGGTTATAAGAAAAGGTACACAAAACCTAGCCTAAAGTACGTGGTGGGTATAGGGCTTGCCCTGTTTCCTTAACCCTAAATTTGGCTTATTCGTGAGACAAGTGTGCGCCACGAGCCCCGCCGCGGTGGTCTAGTGGCTAAGGTACTCGGCTGCTGACCCGCAGGTCGCGGGTTCGATTCCCGGCTGCGGCGGCTGCATTTCCGATGGAGGCGGAAATGTTGTAGGCCCGTGTACTCAGATTTGGGTGCACGTTAAAGAACCCCAGGTGGTCAAAATTTCCGGAGCCCTCCACTACGGCGTCTCTCATAATCAAATGGTGGTTTTGGGACGTTAAACCCCACAAATCAATCAAGTGTGCGCCACGAAGTGCGAACGACTTCACATGGGGTGATAGCACCCCCAGAAGTGTCATTGCCCTTTTGGTGGCAATGACACTTCTGTTTACTAAGAAATTCCTACGCGCTATCAGCGTTATGTAGCTGATAACGTGCTCTGCAAACCGATGTCGAGCCGATAGTAGTACCGCTGATTTCGCTGATGTTAAACATTGCCGTATCGTGGGGTCCACACTCGCGCAATATTATTTTTAAAAAATGATTTATTGCGTAGTGGGTACCCTGCAAGTGTGCTTGTTGCAGTTACCCAAGGAGTGTTTAAAGAACACATCTGCCCGTAAAGGGAACTTTGATGGGCATGCGAACCAGCTATAGGTGCGACGTGGCGTTCCCCTAAATTCGTTCCGCTTAGTGCAACAAACGGAAGGCCGCTTCTGATCTGAAGAGCCGCGGTCTCTTCAGAAGCGGCATGGCGGTATTTCTGCCGAGCTTCAGCTTCTCTTGCACGAAGTTCAGGGACGACTTGGCGCCGCTGACATTTCGCGACAGTGGCTCGAGCGTTCCGAGCAGCTGCTGAGGACGAGTCAGACTGCTGTTTACTGCCTATACCGACGCGCTCCCATTAATTGTGACTGAATGAATGCACGCGCTACTGGGCGCCACCGAGTTTATGGCGCGCAGACCAGCGCCTTCTGACGGGTTCTTCGAGTAATTTCACGAAAAGCGCCTCTTCCGTGGGCCGAGACAAATAGAAGGTACGGCGCCTCACATGAGAGGTAGCGTACAGCATAGCTACTCCTCATAAAAAAATTAAGTTGTGTAGCGACTGGTGCATATCCAAATCCTGCTAGTGGAGCGCTTATTTATGAGTGGTGCCCCAGGTCCTGTCCTAGGGCAACGCTTTTTTCTATGGGAGACTGGTCAGTCTCCAGAATTTTTGTGATTAATCCTCGTTTCCCCGCTAACACTATTAAACTGCGGTCCCGTGGAAACACTCTATTCTTTGGCTTAGCCATGCAGGCACGTGAAAAACTGTCAGCATCCCGCCTACTCAGGTGGACCATCTGAAGCATCGGTCCCAAGGGAACCAGACTGTCTTCGAGGGCATGCATGATGCTGTGCCGGACCACCTTCACGACGAGCTGTCAATTCTCTGTCTACGCAGGAGGACTTCACTGAAGTGGGACAACGATGTGAACCTCGGTACTACTGCCGAACATGGGACAAGAGACAATAGACGAACGGCCTCTTGTTTAGAGCAGTCACCCTTGCCAACTCAACTCAGTTGAGCTAGCTGGCTATGAACAGCTATACTGCTTCGCTTGCTATAAACTTGTTATTTCCACATGCTTGTCTCCTCCTTCAGATTGCGAGCAAAGGCCCGACTTCGGCTACGTTTGTTCATCAGCCTTGCGACTGGACAAGGCTGGTGTGTTCTTTTGTGGGAGTTTGTGATGTGTTGGGGCGTTGTTTTGTGGGAGTTTTAGTACTTAAAGTTATGAGCATCTAACTAATTATGTAATTATTCTGTCACCAGTCAGCTTCACTACTTTGATAAGAATCCACTAACAGGCCCGAAATGCATGCGCAGGTTGTTTTTTGGTTGTCTTTGTTTCGAGCGAAAAAAAAAAGTACTTTCCACGTTGGTCCTAGAACGTGTCACGTCAAACAACCGTCGAACATGGTAGTGTATCCAGCAAAGGGATCCTCTGAAGCAATACGCAGCATACTGAAGTTAGATGATCGCCAGTTGTCTACTCAGGAGGAATTCCACAAGTGTGCACAGGTTAGTTTAGGTCATTTGATCATACACGCGGTGCGTGACGTGCCATTGAAGTTGGCGTGTACATTTGTACCCACAGGGATTGAAAAGGTTAAGCTCTGCAGAGTGTTCAGTAAAATTGAGTGCTCGACGCTGTCATATGCTTACGCTATGTCCAGGGTTACTAACGCAGCGTGATGTCTCCTTTTCCAAGCAAGCTGTATATCAACATTCCAAATCAACATGGGCAGACCATATTGAGCCGTCACTACGAAAACCAGTTTTGTTTGCTTTTAATATTAACTTATTTGTCATCCGAATATTTTTCGGCCATTTAGGACCCTCTCTTTGAGTTTAACCATGTTAGATGTTTGTGATATTGGTCGGATATTTGCTATGGCAAAACCTAATGCGTGCTTTTTTTAATATTTTAATTTATCTTCGCTGTTTTACAGTGATTCTGTGCTGAAGTGTTGCTTAACGAGTATTTATAAGATTGAAGACGTCAACGGGTGATAACTTGAATAAAATTCTAATCATAGGAACCTTGATTCCATCAGGACAAGGAGCTGACGAAGATAATCACGTTGGATGCTTCAGCCAGTGTTACTTTTTCGAAGCCGGTTGTTATGGCAGACTTTTGCCATTTGAATGACACAGTCGAAGAAAACCTAATTTCCAGATCTCTGCTAATCGA